TAAAAAGATTCACATTTGTCTAAGTTGTATATGGATTGGAGATTGGACTAAAGGAATATAAATGCTTTTAGAAGCGTTCATATGTCAAATTTATCAACTGAGTTTGGCCAGAAAACCAGTATGTCCGTGAAACAACCTCGTAAATCCATCGAGGAAGGATATCTGTGCTAGTAGCACTCTCAATTTAAGGAAAGAGTGAGCATCCTATTAGCTGGACTCTTCCTACTGGAAGAGGCTTTGAAGGTTTCTTAATGGTTTGCTTTTGTACTTTCAGATCTATTGCTTTTGGTTTTTTCTTTGCTCCATTGTATGATTTATGATACACCCTTCCCTGAGCCCTTTAATGTGCTTTGTCTAATCGTATTATCTTTTAAACTACAGTCACCCAGGATTATGCACCAAGGAACACATGCCTAGTACTTAAAAGCAACATGTGCACTGTAAGGCAGGACTTCTGTGGAAACATGCCACTCTGGGTTGTAATCCAGGCATCTCCAAAGCTTCACATGTTCTGGGATCTGTGTTTTGCAGTTCAGATTAGTTGACATCATTGCCTGAGCTTTGTTTGTGCACAGAAGTTAAGAGTCATGGTACAGAAGCAGAGAGCAAAGATGCTTCTAGAAAATGAGAAAAAAATTCCTAGTAAACTCTGGACAAAAAGAAACAAGAAGAAAAGGTTCTTACTTAAGGAAGTTCTGCATTGGAGAAAACATAGCTGGTAGACTGTACAGATAAAAGTATAATGTGTTTAAAAATAAAAATAATTCTTTTTTTATTTGTGTCAGTACTCTCTTTTCTCTTTTTTTTTTTTCTTTTCCCCTTTATGTCACTGTAGTCATTCTCAAAGACAGGCCATTAATCCAACTTACAGTGAGTGAGGTCATTGATTTATGGAGGTTATAGCTGCATTTGGGAGCATGAGATGAAGGAAGAGAGTTGACTGAGACTTTTGCATAATTTGTGTGTATTAGTTTTCCTTTAAACATGGATTTTTGAAATTCTGCTCCTAACAGTCTTTACAGCAGCCATTAGTTCTAGCTGAGAAGCAGGACTGATGTTGAATGGGAGACAGAAAAAAGGGTGGGGGAGGAACCAAATGGCATAAACCTGAGTAATTTACAGTATGAACAAGGGCTAACAGTACTTCCAAGATAATAATCTGGTTTCAGTTAATGAATACAGGAATTTGTGGAAAACATTTTTATACAAAAACTAACAGCAATATGCCTCATTGTATGTTTAAACCTAAATCCTTATTTGAGACAGAACTAAAAGATGTGTAACCAGTAACAATCTTTTTAAGTGTATGACCAAATTTTTATTAGGAAGGCTGGTATTTTGTGTTGCTCTGAGGGAACCCAGAGCAACCATGGACAACCTCTTTGCTGATGTGGCATAATACTAATGACAAAAGACACAGCAAACCATCATTTGCAGTGCAAGACTGATACAGCCTTTGGAATCTATAGATTTAAGAAAAGTGCTTAATTTCCTCTTTCTTTAAAAAAAAACAAAAACATCCATGGACTATGGTCCATCTATAGTACCTCAAACCACTGCTATACCTTGGGATCTATACAGGACTTCAGGAGGTCCAGTTCAGCTCCTATTGTCATAGAAAGCATTTCTTCACGTTCATCCAGACCCAGATCCTGTTTGAGAGGACTTTGGTCTTACTTCAGTTGATGGAGAGTTTGTTTGGTGTCATTTCATTAGCACATAGCCATAGAAAACATCAAGTCTGAAAGCCTATAACTAGAGATACTGGGTTTCAGGAGCAAAAGAAATTGCAAAGGCATCACAAGAGATTAGAGCAGCAGAGTCAACTGAAGTAGGTTCAATACCAACAGAAAATACTTGAAAACAAGTATCTGCTTCTTTACGTAATGGAGGGGAAGGGAAAGAAGAGAATCTAGCAACTGTTTTTAATCTCCACTCATTAGCCGAGTGTTACTCTTTTATGTACCTCAGGAGAAAGCGGAGCTAAGACTTGGGAATGGGAAATTGCCCAGCTAACGATTTTCTTTAGAGTTAACAATATAGAAGACCTGAGATCAATTTTCAAAACAGTGAACTGTAGTTTGGAACATACGTACCTTGAAAACCACCACTTTTCTTCTTAATGCTTTGTAATAGCTAAAGTAAAATGAAAATGGGGTTTCCTTTGGTATTAGTTTGAACTTCGTTCATTTGAGATAGTTTTTTGTGTAGGGTCTCTGACTGTATGGTAACTAACAATATAAAAATGATGCCAGCCAGTTTGATTGAACATGTGGTTGACTGAATAGGATTCTGTTTGGGCAATACAGTTAAGAGTATATAGTATCTGCTGCTGGTGTGTTCAACAAACATTAAAAAAACTAATCATGCAACTATCTCAGCATTGCCTTAGGCACGTCACAAACTTTTAATAGACTAGTCTAGGAAAAATGATTAAAAATTAAGGTTTGATTCCTAGCCCTGCAGAACCTGGACCATTATCGCTCCTGTTTAAAAAAGGGGAATGGGTTTCTTTACCTCACCCTTATTACCTGTGAAGAGGGAAGATGCAAAGGTGAAGCTTGTAAATGGGCCTTGTGATCTTAAGCAACAGAACTATTTTGGGTTAAGGCAAGAAATCTCCATCAAGGTTTGCCAGGGTGTTTGCCAAACTGAAGCCTGGACTCAATGTCCAATTCATTTGCCATGAAGTACTATTTATAAGGAACCATAATTTCAGCAGATTCAAACTGCTGTACAGGTGAGCCACATCATCTCACCAGCTGCCTAAATCTGCTCTGAGAAGAAATAAGGCTAAGCTGTTAAACCCTTGCTTTGATCTAATATCTGGATTTAGAGGCCCATCAATTTTTTTTTTTATATATGCTTGAGTACAGAACACCATTACTTGCCATTTGTGATGAGACAGCCATAAAAAACCTCGGAGGGATAAAAGTTAAGTGATTCCAAACAGCTTTAAAAATGCCAAGGCAATGTATTCATTCCTTCTGTATCTGTAGTGGTCACAATTGCTGTGATTGCTTGCTGTGCCCACTCTTGCCTGGTGTGCAAAGCCCTGCCTGGCCACCCTGGTCCCTTACCTCAATGGTGCAGAGCAGCCGGCTCTCACAGGGCGGAAGCTGTGACTCCAGTTGTAACAAGCGAGGCTGTCTGCTATACGGGTGTCTGGCTGGTAATGGGGCTTTCAAGTAACAGAATACCTGATGGTTTGTTTTCTAAGCTGTTTTATGCCGAGAATCCGGACAAAGACCAATAGTAAATGAGAAGAGACAGAGACAAAAGGTGGTTGGTAGAAACAGGCAGGTGTTCTTTATTTCATGTGGCACAGCATTAGGCAGACAACCCAAGAAACAGTTTCTAACAAAAACCAAAGCTATCACTTCCAGGAACCATCCCCCAAACAAGGGTCTACTGCCAACAGCAGCACTGAGATGTCCTTGCCTGCCTGCTCTCATCTCCTTATTGTTTGCACACGCTTAGGCCGTATCTCAGCTGTGAGCATCCTTTCCAAGGAGACTAACTTCTTACGATACAGTATCTTTAGACAGCATACACACTGCGCAGTATTACCAAAGTACAATCTCCTCAAGCCATGCTAAAATATAATGCTAACTCTGGAGAGAGGGCTGTGCAATCGCCTTGCGTCTCTCTGAGGTAATACAATGCTGTTTCTTAGCTGACAACATGAGGGGCACCTGAGGGAAGATCAATATGGCTTCAGAGTCTATTTTCAAACTCCTGATGCAGTAGCGAGAACCTGGCATGCCATCTGCTGAGATACAGGGCGAGTACCTCCTCCACCGCCGGCTGCCGCTGGCCGCGGGCAGCACCAGAGAGCTGAGCCTGCTGTCACCCAGAGGGCTGGGAACGTAGATGCTCTTGGGCTAGGAGGAGGAGACGTCCGTCAAAGATCACAACAGACCGTAACCTTTGCGTCGGTCATTAGGCAAGAGGTAAGCAATGGCAGCGGTAGGGGGAGTTACATAGTTAGCACTCCAGATTAAAGGCATGAAGAATGGCTGGTGGAAGGAAGACGTTTTAGAGACTAAGGGCAAAGCTTTAAAAGCCTTGGCATATTACTTTTAATAACTATCTACAGGTTATTATCTCTATATATACTATTTTTCTTTCTAAATTAAGAAAATAAACATTTATTAACAAGTCACTAGGTCAATCCTGCTCTCCACTGAAGCCAAATCCATTGACTTCAATGTGAGGGAGCCCTGTGTAAACAATGAAGGGCAAATTTGGCCCTTTATGTCCTGAAAGGTCTGCTTGTACCCATTTTCCAATCCTGCGAGGAAATACAGATTGAAGGGTGAATTAATTGTTACAAATTTCTCTTGAACTACCAGGGGAGTGTTGTCAAGATGTGGCAAAGGAGCAACAAAAAGGAACAGGTAAGTACTACTTTAAAGAGAATTTTTTCCATGTTGCAGAGCAAAAGTACAAAAAGAGAGTGGATCTGGATCAAGCGCTACTGGCCTTTACTTTCTAAGCAACCACAAAATCCTTCATGTAGCTTCGGTGAAACGGTACACAACCAGAGAAAACAGAAGGGACCAAATACTCCTTTTCCTTTGCAAACCTCATCTGCCCAAAGGTGAACACTGTCATCCCTTTGGATGCTCTGCTAATTCCAACTGTCTGCACAGTGCAGTGTCAGCCACTGAAGATAAAACGTGTCTACTGTGCAGATGAGTAAAACCTGTGGTGTCTTACAAATGTAACTTAACGTTTTGAATATTAAAAAACACTAGGTGCTTTTAGACACAGAACAATACGATTTTAGATGCATTTACCACTTTTATTTCACTATGCAGAAACATACATTCACCATGTGTTGTGATGCAGCTGACAGTGTAATGGACGCTATCCCTTCAGTGGGTATTATAGCTGGACACTAACGAGTTTTCAGTGGACGTTCTGTACAGGTTAAGGCTTGACTCTGAACTAGATAGTAAATGCTGACCAGATTCTCAAATAGATTTTTTTTTTTCTTTTTTTCCTCTGAGAACAAAAGGGAAATCAATAGAAAACCATCACGGTTATTTCAGATTAATAATTTTCTAATGCTGCAAACTAAGTAAAATACAGATTTTTTTTCCTCCAAAATAACTACATATAATTTACAAGGTTAGGATCTGTGAAGGGTGACTGGAAGCTGACTCTGAACAATGCTGACAAAAATCGTTAAAGTTAATATACTAAAATCATTACTACCTCATAAGGTATTCAGTCAGGTATACAAAGCACACTTTGTAAGCAATTAAATATTTTGATAAGAGTAAGGATTCGTCATCATTTATCGGGCAGTAATAAAACCAGATGAAACAAATATAAGATTCAAGTTGTTTACTGAATAAACCGTGTTATTGGCACATCTAATGTGTGATAAAACATTATACACAGTACCTATACAGCTTCTAGCATTTTGGGGGTATCTTCATTTATGATATCCGTAAACAAACGGCTTGCCACCTAACAAAATTTAATTTGTTTAGACTTTCATAAACTGTGAAAGGCATGAACTGTTTATGTGTTACATGAGATCACTGTTTATATTGTTTATGAACGTGCAGGTATAGCTGAAAACTTAGACATTTTAAGAAAATTAAAAATGCTGCTTTTCTGTAATTTTATCGTTGCTTCATGCAATATTGTTTAACTGCTGCTGATTCAGATTGCTTTCTATGGGAAGGTATCTCTGCCAGTTTCTTTATTAACGGTCAAGAGCAATTCTTCTGTACTGAAATTTCCATAGACAGATACAAGTCAGTCAGGTTGGAACTGAGACTCCGTATAGGCTCTTGTATTCCTACTGGTGTGCATGTCTGGATTCGTATGCAATCTAGGTTATTCCTGCAAGAAAGAGAACTGAGTTAATTATTTGAAGCAACTACTCTCTTGCAAAAGAGATTTTGTCAATTGTTCATGTAACAAAAGCTATTTGAAAACGGCATCATCCCAGTGTAAGCAACTTGGCCCAAATCCAAAGTCCACTGATGCCAATGGAAGGAATTAGTGACATCAATAGACTTGTAAGCAAGCCACATTGCGTTGTCTCTGAAACAATTAGCAGACTACCACAAGAATCACAGCTACTCACTCTTCAGTGACTGTTTTCATCTTCCAAATAAATAACAGATACTGAAATTCAGTTTTCTTTAGGGTCTCTATATCCACAAGCAGGAGAGCAAAACCGCTTCAAATGGTGCTGTGCATTATACTGTTACTTACACCAAGTGCTAGGGAATATATATTGTTTTAAGAATAAAATGCTGCTGTCGATTTAAACAAATCAGACAAGCAGCTTTTTTCCCCACCTTCTGCATACAGCATTCAAAGCAATTTGTGCAATGGTGCTGGCATTAATGGCTTTTGCATAGCAGGTTAGTATGCATGACATGTTTTTGCACACAGAATAAATATAGTAATATTAAGACGTCTGTTTAGCCAGCCACAATTGGAGAGCATGCCTTTACTGAAAAAAAAGCTTGACACAAGAAAAGCTGCATTATCATCTCATCCTGATAAACAATGCTGCTTTAAAACATAAAATGTTCTTTCAAATACAAGAAAGCCAAGACATCCAAATACCGACATACTAATTCACTCAGTTTCAAAGAAAAATCAAAAGCAAGTTGGACCATATCTTTTGCAAGTTAGGAATTAAAGCTTAACTTGTAACATATCTGCATGGGACATTTAAAAAGCAGCTGCAGGTTTTTCCCTTGGCATTTTTAAACAAAATGCATACCTTTAAGAACAAATTATTTTTGTTCTTAAATGACATAAAAGCAGACAACAGGTTTTTTTACTTCAGAATTAGAAAATTAGACCATATCAAAGCATGGACAATGAGGGCTTTCCAGAGAGCCAACAAAAGCAAATGAGTAGTTTCTCTTTCTCCAGCTGGCACCATTAAATGAAGAAAGATTTTTACAGCTGAATGTGGTTTACATTCAAATACCAGAACTGATATCCAGCATAAATGCAACTTGCAAATGCCAGTGAGAGAAAGCAAAGAGTTAGAGGTGAATTATGGTAGGAAAACAACATTTGCAACATGCCAGCCCAGTAAATGCCTAGGAAAATTATCTAGTCCTCTTACCTGTGGTCAATCCTCCCCATCTTCTGGTGTGATTTCTGTCTCTTTATGTACCACTACTTTGGTCACTGACATGTCAGGGTGCTGCTCTTTGGCTTCTTTAATTGCCTGAGCCAGCGCCTATCCCAAGGAAACCACAGAAGGGCAAAAACAAAAAGGAGGTGGAACATGCATGATCAGTAGCAAGGTGAAGAGATTCATGAGATATTACACAATTTACAAATGAGGAAAAATGATTAAAATATGAAATATACCATCACTGATTTAACTGCTAATCCAGTTTAATTTAAGGCATGCTAGTATGAATATTATCTTTTAAAGCAATGTTTAGAAATGTTCTCTTTTGGCTGTCTTCAGGGTAGCCTTTAGCAGTTTATAGATTTTACCTGATCATGATCAATATCTGCATCTCCTGTGATGACTATTCGTTTTTCAATTCTTGTCTCTGAGATGCCTCCTTTCACAGTCTAGATGGGAGGGACAAATGCATGTCAGTAACTTACTCTGAAGAGTGCTGCTACCCATCCAGAGAATGATCAGTGCAGGAACCCAGAGGTGATTGGACTGAACTATCTCAAACAGCATGCACAGAGGGGACAACCCTGAACTGCAACCGGAGCAGCTCTGAAGTTGGCCTGCTCGGAATGGACTAGATGACCTGCAGAAGTCCTTCCAACACAGATAATTTTACGATTCTAGTCAATCTGCACACGTCAGGAGAGATGTTTGTATATCAAAAATGGCATGTATTTACGGTAAATTCATCCCATGAAGAAAAGAATGCACATACAGACAGCTCATTCAAGACCTAGTTAAGTCCAAATGCAGGCTTCAGAAGGACATACAGAGTAGCATGGCCTTTGCGCAGCTCACCTACTGAAGGGTGAATTTCACTGCAGAAAGATGAAATCCTGTCCTCAGTGAATATTGGCAGGAGAGCTGTTACAGCACTAAAAGGGTTGCTGCTTAGGGAGGAACTGTTATGTAGATGCTATCTTGGAACTTGGAAGACCCAACCTCATTTGTCTGTGCAGCCATAAGCTTTCAGTCTGGCTGTGGGCAAGTTCTTAGCAACGCGACCATGGCATCTGAGCTGACTGAATGTCCTGTTATGACTGTGTGATACAGATTTACTATATGCTTTCAACAGCGTGCAGGGATAATAGCTCAGGACTCAAAGGCAGTGTAGTCATGTCAACAGAGCCTCATGCTCAGGCAAATTATTCCTTCATGGCTAGCAGATGATGCCAACATGGCTACACTGCTTTCAGTCCCAGAGAGTTAGGCAGCTAACTCAAGTGTCTCTGCACAGCAAGGTTTTGTGCTTGTAGAGACTTACCCTAAGGGTCTATGACTCTCAGGACTCTTGTCAAGTCCTTGGGTGATGCATTAATGAAGCCAGTATAGCCAGAGACAGGTGAATGAAGACAGGTACCCAAAACAGACAGGATTTTGTCCAGAGAGTATAAGCATGTGTCCATGTTTTAAAGTAAATAATAGAACTGAAGTTAAGAAAACATACACCCTCATGAAAAAAAAAGCTCCCAGTTTTCTGAGGACTCACTTTGGTGATATGTGTAGTGGTTGTAGTGCTGGTGGTTTCAGATGTGATAGTTTGTGCACTCATCAATACACCCGGTTCTGAGTCAGCACCACAATCCACCTAGGGAACCAAAAGAGAAAACCAGTCATCAAAAACATGCTCCTGAGCACAGGGAGGCAAGAACTGGACTGGCTGAACTTCCCTATTTCTACAGTTCTTCATAAAGTGAGTATCTAATGGTAGGGAAACAACTGCTATGAGGTTGATCATGAGTCAGTATTTCTCTCTGCATCTGGAGAGTCCCCTTCGCTTCTGGAAGGACAGATGAGAAGCTGGGCTTTAAAATCTGTAGTTTCATCAATGTTCTCAAAAGGACCAGGACATGAGAATCACCCTCACATAAGCGATTCTTATGTACATCCTCATCATGCTAATATTTAATACTTGAACAACTTAGAACAGTTTACACTAAGGCATACACTTAAAGATGGGTGAAGACACATGGGTTCCTTAAGGGCATGTTAAATTAGACCCTGGATTTTGCAGAGTTTCTCACCTGAGAAGACTCATACGTAATGGTTTTTGTTTCTGTATGGACTACTGGCACTTCCTTTGTTGAAATTTCAAGGTTGTCCCCACCAGCAGAAACACTACTGAAACTGATAGTCTCAGTCTTCACAACTGGTGACTGCATGAACAAAAAAAAGGAATTGGAATATTTAGCAAAGCTTACGGATTTCTCAGAACATTTTTTTTTGCTTAGGAAAAGGTAGGGGAGCAATTAAAAAGTGCTTTGCATTTAACAAAAAAAAAAAAAAGAAAATTCTCTTCATTACAGTGGCACATACATGTATATAACAGTGGCAACATTTAGCACTATCCTGGCTTTTATGAAAACAAACTTCAAAAAAGATCTAAACACTACAAGAGGCAATGGGCACAACCTGAAACACAGGAAGCTCCCTCCGAACATCAGGAAACAGCTTTTCATTTTGAGGGTGACTGAGCACTGGCACAGGTTGCCCAGGGAGGTTGTGGAGTCTCCATCCTTGGAGATATTCAAAAGCTGTCTGGACACAGTCTTGGGCAACTGGCTCTGGGTGACCCTGCTTCAGCAGGGGTGGTTGGAGCAGATGACCTCCAGAGGTCTCTTTCAACCTCAACTATTCTGTGATTCTACATTTTCTTAAAATAACCAGAGAACGAATCCTGTTCAGGCTTAGCTTTCCATTCAGCTCTCAGAGAAAAGAGCAAGAACAAGGTTTTTTTTTAACCCCTCTGCAAAACAGTTCTTGAAATTTTGCTAATGGGGCTAAGATAAGGAACCTGGGTTGTTTAAGACACAGTACACTTATTTACAATTGTACCAAGCATAGGAAAAAAGAAAACAAACAACATTTTATGTCTTTGAGGACACATGAACTTTGCCAGTCTTGATGGACTTTCCCCAAGAGAATGCCAGCTGAAATCTCGTTATCCATTGCATAAAATGCCACCAAATTAGGTATTTCTCTGTAGCATGAAAAGCGCTTTTAGGTAAAACATGCATGGCATTTTACCCATGATGGAAACCAGCAACAAGCCTTGCAGGTGCCACACAAGGAGGAAATAAGAGGAGAAACAAACCGCCTGCTGTAAAGATGCAGTGATACAAGCTTGGTACACTTGCCACGACAGGAATTAACTTAGTACACTATCGCCTACATTCACAATTCAGCACAGACATGACCGATTTAATAATGAGTTACCTCAAAATGAGGTTTTCTTTCCAAAGACTCTGAAAGGTGGACTGTTGTACTGTGCTCCTCTGCTTGCTCGCAGGAAGCAGCAGCAGCGGCTCCATCCTGTTTGGTTAGGGCTTTCCCAGCCTCCTCCCTTTTTTCCTCCTTCGCCCCCTCAGTCCCAGCAGAGCCCTCCTTCCCTTTCACACCAGCAGCCACCGCCGACACTGCCTCAGCCTGGGCATCCAGCGCAAGTCCGGCCGCTTTAGCAGCATCCCCGCTTGCATGCACATCCATCCCACGTCTCTCCTTGATAACTACGGTCTCCTGTACAACCTTCTTCACTGTATCCTGATGTGGCTGAACTGCTTGCTTCATTTCACTGGAAGTTATCTCCTGAGATGTCACCGTGTCTATTCTCTGCAGGGAAGGAGAAAAAAACCTCTCAGCGTCAGAAGCAGACAACACTACTTGCAATAACTCCTCAGCTTAATGTACTGTGAACATAAATAAAAAAATGGGTATTACATTTTGCCAATTTATTTCTCTCACGTTGCATGGATTTTCATTCCCAGGACATTATCAGAATAGTAGAAATGAAAAACAAAGCAAGAATCACAATTTTTAAAAGTGAAGAGAAATGTCAGTGTTTTTCCTGTTGATATTTTTGCGTGAGTTTTATAAAGGCAAAATACAGCACCCTGTAAAATGACCAAAACAAAGTGAAATGAGAGAAAACCTGGGGTTTTTTTGTTTTTCTTTTCTTTTTGGTGAAGTTTCTATTGTGGTCTATTGTAACGAAGGAAAAGGCACACAAATACATGCATTAGTTATATAGGTTCTGAGTTATGCATAAAAACAGGAAACAAGCAAAAGTAATTGGTGTGCAGTTATAACGTTGATGGAGGGAATCAAGCGGCCACCTGAGCCCAGCTATGTGAAGTAGAAGTAACCCCTCCTATGAACTCAGTCGGTTTTCTGGCGGACTCTATTAAACTGAAGATATCTGAACCATCCAAGGTTTTTTCACTGGTGGACTGTTTAGTCTAAATAGACAAAGAAATGTAGAGTCACACACAGAAGAAAGGCAGACCCACATGCACAGATGTACTAATTGCCAAAACTGGAGGCAGAGACGGAGGAAAGGGAGAGAAGGTTGCGGGGGCACAGAGAGGTTGGAAACAGGAAAAGAATGGGAAAATAAATCAGAGCAAATTCACAATGGCTGTAGTAAGCAATAGTTACAAAGCATAGTTGTTAGCGTTGGCATTTTGCTGGTTCAAGCAAACCTTTTTTTTTTTCCTTTTATTAACAAGCCGCAGCAGCAATACTACATTTCAGTAACATGGATCTTTAAATAAACCAGAAAGGTTGAAAGCCTTATATAAAGTCTGCTTCAGACTGTGGGACGGATTCAAAGTATGAGGGAAAAAAAAATAAGCTGGGTTGGCTGCTGTCAACATAAAGCCAGGCAGCAAGAAAACCGAAAGGTAGGGTGGTGTGAGGGGGTTGCCTAAAATAAGTCATGCTTTAATCTTTAAACCGTGGCATGAAGTCAAAGCCACTTGTTACCACTACTTTTGACGCAGACGACTCGGTAACATAGTGAGCAGTAGCAATGGTAAATGGCTGTTCTCTGGAATATCTCCCCTCAGACAGGCTCTTATCTCTCCGGGCAAATGCCCCTGCTTTTACAGCTTCACTGCCAAGGTGTTTTTCTGCTTTGCCAAGCTGCAAGCTTCCCAGTGTACCATGTAACTGCAAATCCTGGTCCATCTTTAGTGTCTTTTTCAAACTCTCCTCTTCAGGACTTTGCAAATGAGATTCTGCTTCCTTTATGGGTGTCAGAGAGTCGGACAGCTTTCTTTTTGTGCTCTGCACGTCGGATCCCCGCCTGGCTTTCTCATCAGTGACAGGCTCGAGAATGTCATACTCGGCCACTACCGGAATGATTTTCATAAATTCTTGCACTTCCCTTTCCATTTTTTGCAAAGCTTCTACTGAAGGCTGTACTGCTTTTTCGCCCTCTTTAGCTTTACTTGTCATGGTTACAATTTTCCCAGATACGGTATCATAGGACTTTCCTAGGGTGAACATTTTCTGCTTATTCTCCTCTTTGGATTGTATTTCACTTTCCAAGTCCTCAAAGCTCTGCATTAGAATGGTACTGGATTTTAATATCTCAGGTGGAAAGGCAGTTTTACTGCTCACAGTCACTACTTTGTATGCCAGATTTTTTTTCGATTCAGCATCAACTACCTCAGAGGGTATTTTGTCTATAATAACCCAATCCTCAGTGCCCTATATTTGAGATATAAAAGCTAAATTAGAATATCTGAAGGTTTATCTGTACTTCAGGAGCACTAAAGTATGAAGACTTTTAAGAAATCAATGCTGCCTCTTCTGAAAGCATATAATAACTTTTACCATTGTACCTCTTACAGCAGTTATCAAACAAATAAACAGAATCACCTTAGGCAAAGTATGATTTCTTTGCATATTCCCTCCCCTTAGAGGCCCATATAACAGGGACACAAAAAATTACTTTTGCCACAATATTTCTGTATTAATTTGAAGCAGAATAGCATTTTAGTGCATCATTTAGAATGAAGATTGGAATCATCCTGAGGTTAAAAAAACATGTATCGCAATGGTTTATAATGCTACAGTAAAAAAAAATTACAAAAATAGGGCAAATAAGCCCATTCAAATGTTCCCCAGTTGTCACAAACACACCGTTGATGATGTTATAGAATAGTATGCATTTGTATGTAGCTGTAGTCTGCACTGATTTCCTTGTTTTCTTTAGAATAACATCAACACCCTTCAGGATTGTTTAAATTGAGCAGTACAACACAGTAAACACCATACTACTAAAGATTTTGAACGGAACTTAATGCAGCATCTTTTTTTCTCCTTACGCAAATATGCTATGTGATTTGCTTTGACTATGCAATCAGCATCCAGTTATTTGACCTTAGGACCGTTAACTCCTGTATTTAACTAAGCAAATGTGGTAGTTTAAAATCGAATGAATTAAAAATAACCTCTAGGGATGATGGGATACTTTTCTGGATAATGATTTGATGAGAAGTAACCAAAGTGCCAGCAGATTCTCCTTCCTGCAGCTTCTTCGCTATCACACTTGGCTAATAGAAAAACCAATAAGAATACAAAGTTCACCATCACTCAGCATAATCTGAATTCACTTGACAGTATAAAGGAAATTCATTCTAATGACAGAAGTGCCCCATTTACCATAACATTCTCAGTGAGGCTTATGCTGGAAATGCATGCACAACATCCACAAACAGAACCGTGCAAATAGATTTCTAACTAGCAGAGGAATCAGTCTGTATTAGGAAGCCATAAGCTCTGGAGGGGATTGATTCCTCAGAATTTGGCCCCCAGATTACAACTCACTCTGGAACTTACAAAATAATAACAAAAAAAAAACCAAAACAAAAAGGCGGCTTGGAAAGGTAAAAAAGATAATAAATCATTGCCAGCCTATCTGACTGCATTTCAAGAAAGTATTACTTGTTTTTACCTGCAATTCAAGGAATGTAGTACCTCCCTTCTGCAAAAATATGAGTTTTTCTGATTTTTCTCTTTCTTCTTTGGTCTAATGTCAGGGGAATAAATGGTTTTAGTAAACGGAGGGTATGAAGTTCACTATACTTTACAATAGGTCATCATATTTCTCTACTCTACAAATTATTAATTGCATGGTAAATTAGGAAACAGAATTAAACAGAATAATTTTACAGCAAAGAGGTTTTCAATAAGAAGTGAAATCAGTGTCTCTCTGTGATGAATGCAAAGCAGACACGAGAGTACCATTTGCATAGCATGAAAAAACACTAAATTGAATAACACCCGGGTGTGGATCCACTGTGTTCATTTTATCTTATATAATTCATTTAACTGTGTCTGGTGCCAATTTACATGGCTTCCATCAATAGCCTAGAACAGGCCCCTCCACCTTCACCCTGGACTCGGCTCCTTCCTGAGTTTGCAGCCTTCCCTGCTGAAGCAGGCGTAAGGTGTGCCCCGCAAAGATTTCAGCTCTCCCTTTCTCCTTACAGCTATAAGAGGTCTCAGAGTCTTTTCCTACACAGGAAGCCAACCATTGCTGTATTATTGCTATAGTGTGACACCAAAATCCTCCTCACTTTTACCCCCCATCAGTGCCTTTGCAATACTGTGAGAAACGTAAGAGTAACTCTGCAACTTGACTGACTGTGAAAGTTTTCAATGTTGGTAAGACTCAATTTCCTAAGTCTTCTGAGCCCAGCTGCCGGGCTGGCCACCTTTTTCATTTGGCTGGAGCAAGTAAGCCCCTGCAGAGCAAAGCAGGTTTCTCGCCAAACTCCTTCTACCCCCTTCAACTGCTAGTGTACTCATTAGACATGCCAATGGAAATACTATGACTGGCATGATAAAAGGGTACTGTTTTAAATATGTATACTCCGTGCACTCAAGAAGAAAGGTAGACAGTTAAAAAAAGATACAAAACTAGAAACGAGAGAGAGAAAGGGAGAAACGGCTTATCTCCCTGACTGCAATGAGATGCATAACGTCTTTATTTCTAAAGCGCTGGTTTAATCCAATCCAGGTCAGACTAAACGTTGTCAAGGAGTTTGTTAATATGATTGCTTTCATGTTCTGCAGATATCTGGCCATGATTATGGTAGATATTTAAAACTGTATTTTTCATAACTGAAGAAGAACAAAGTATTTCCCCTATTATTGTAAGAAACCAAGTGGTGACTAGACAGGCTTAAAGTCAAACTGACTGAACACACACAGGTACCAAATGCTCAAAGCACACATTTTGAAAAGGCATATCTTCCTTCTTGTTTTATTGTATTAAAGAGCTACGTGTAACAGCACTGAATAAATTTTCGAAGTGGATATGCTAAGTTAAACGCATAACTTATTTGACTAGAAGAAGCTACTACATAACGCAGTTCTACGTGCTCTCTATCCTGACTACATCCACCTTTCTTAGTAGACATCAAGGTGCTGATTTTGACCTATGTACGGCTTCATTTTTTTCCTGAAAAATTACTCTCTCAGCAGGACACGTGAACTGAAACCATCCCACTTAGTGGGACCAAAAAGGATGGTCAGATGTTATCTACAGCATGGGATAGCGCCAGAAGTCACCTCAGAGTTAGGCTCTGATATGTCAAATCCACTCAAATTTTTCCACAGAAACACCTTAATTTGGATGAGATTCTGTGGGACAGCTGTAGTTTACTTAGATGCATATAAGATATAGTGACTGGACATTGCTTTAGAGCAAGTCTCTTTCTTCCAGTAAGAGAAGAGATACCAGATAAGGATAACTCTTGGCCTTTTCCTTTCCAAATGAATGGTTAAATTCAGATATGTTTCCTCAGGGTGAAGCCTACATAACTGTAATGCTTTGCTACTGCTTGTGCATTTTGATTAAAAATTGTTATTAAATTTCTAAAGTAATACAGACATGAAATGAACTGGGTGGGGTTATAAGCTTCCTTCACCTGCACTCCTCTGATGCAGGCTCAGCTAGCCAGCTGCTTCCTTTTCAACAGTTCCTCATATCTTTAATATATTAAATCCATCTCATTCATTATACTTAAAATTTTACTTTTAAGAAAGAAAACCCATATTTTCAACTACAACCAAACTGACATGGTTGTAGGATCTATTACGATTCCTAAACAAGACAGTAGGAGCAACATTAAGATTCCTCAGCACTCTCTCCAGAAGGTAAGCTTTGGGCACCGAGTCTGCTTTTTAGGTATTTTATTCCAACTTGATGGCCACTGTAATGCATATCTGATGCCTGTATCAGCCACTGGTTGGATGGGTGTAACGTGGGGGAAGAGGAGAAGGGGCCTTTTTCTTGGCAACATCCCTATCCCTAAGAGGAGAAGCTGACGTGCTGCCTGCATGCCTCCAGGGATTCCCTTCCCCAGAGAGCTGTGGGTCTGCAACACCAACCTCTAAGCTGGGAAAGCAGAGACTCTTTCAAATTATACTTTCTAGCCAATTTTTGCTGGGTTTCTTACAACATTACATCAGTGCTGGGGGGACAGAAGCAAATTTTATGACCATTTACTGGTCTGTAATGCTGAAAACAAGCGGTAACCATAAAGATGATTCCTGTGAGACAGAAACCAGACGTCCGCCCACAATAGAATAAAAAAATTAATCTTCATGCAGACTACACAAGCATATTTCTTTTTGCTCCACTGGATTTAAACCAAGACTCTCTGCTCTTTTTGAAGATCTATGTATTTTACAGCAACGTGCATGTTACATTGTTACCTCTACATCTCATTATCTACCCACAAACTAAATAAAAGGCAGCTTTTTAATCGGCAAGATTCTTGCAAACACTTCAAGACTGCACAGTGAGCAAGATTTTTTCACGCACACACACTACATGAGAATGCATACTCTAAGCAATCTGCATTGGGTCTTCAAACGGTATCCAGCAGACTGCAGCTACTATCAGTTCCCTTATGGACCTGGCCAAGCAGGTCTAATTATCATCATTATTTCTTCCCTGTCATCAAAGACAGAGAGTTCTGCCCTTTGCTCTGTATTTTCTTGTCAAGCTTGGTACCATACCCCCAACCATCCTGCTACACCACTGCTCCCAACCAGTCACCATTATTTAAATTTTCTCTCCATCACCTTCATGGTTTCTTTCATGCATGGCTGGACTTCCTCAAGCTCACTGAACCTGTAACAAAGCCCGTGTTTCGCACCCTCAGAGAGACCCAATTCTGCCATGTGGTTTACAGTGAATTTCATATTCTATATATCTATATAGATATATCTATATATCAAAAAGGTATCTGCTCTTCCTTGCATCTTTGCTGCTAGAGCCTGAGTCCTGAGAAAAGGGAGCACCTGCAAGTGGGGATGGCCTCTAACTACAGCCTCTAATCTACTGAGAGCTATTATAAGTAAAAACGAATAGACAAATACATAGTGAAGCCTTTCAGCTCACGCTGACCTCTTCAGGCACTAGTGGTTCAATCATAGGAGCTTCCTCCTGCCTTGCTGCAAGCCGAACGGGAGATGTGGAAAGCCTCTTCTCCCACTCATTAGACACAGCCGTTTCTGTGGAGGTTTCCAAGAAGGTGCGTTTCAGCTCACTTATATTGGTCTGATGTTTCATCAGATCTTCCTGGGTTTTGTCTAGGTCCTGGACAGTTTTAAGAGAATAGAGCAGTTTGTAATACATCCTAAGCCAACCAAATTTTAGAGCCAAAACACACAGCTTGGTTAGTAAAGAGGGAAGTAACATCTCAGGGAGCCGGGGAGCACAGCACTAACACAACACTCTGTGAAAATGTGGCATTTTGAAAGATAACAGCATAGCATATCTCGTACAAGTGAGTATAAAAATACTCTTAAAGAGCTTATCTGTATCGCTGTAATTTACACCTGATAAAGAGGCTTCAAACAAACATACATATGCGCGTGGACGCACACACACATACACGCACGCATATATATATTTATAGTACAAGTTAGAGGAGTCATCATAATCTGAGAAAAAAAAAACCTATTTGATTTATTAGCAGGTGGGAATACACAGTTCATGCATCGTAGTGCAGATTCACAGTTTACCACTAAAACTAACACACATGTACGTACATGCACTGGTATATACCAATACCAACCTCTAACATAAGATTACTATGTTTGACATACACATTTTCACCCTGTATTCGCTTAATCAGACTATTCTGAAAGAAGTGAAAAAGAAAGGGAAAGGTAAGGGACACAGTATTGAAAGGATACAAAATGCTGTTTCTACACATTTCTTCACAGAGAACCGACAGTAACATGCTGAAAGAGGTGAACACCTCCAACATTGATACTTGATCAACACCTGTGCCTTTCGTTTCTGTACCTGTGCCTTTAGATCTCCGTCCTCCTCTTGATCCGACTGCCAGCATGAGAAAGATTGGAAAACAACACCTTACCCACTTGTATGACCGAAGGCTTTACAAAAATCGGTGAGAGTAACACACTAGGTTAAAATCACATGTTCTCTATGTTAAGGGCTTAAGGAGAAGTAGACATACTGGCTGACTTTGCACAGTTCTAACTCGGAGCAAGCCTCCTCTTTTCAAATTTGTTATTTGTGAACAAAGGCGTATTAAGCATTTTCCTTTTATAAATATTGGTGCACTCTATGTTCATAGATCTCTATTTACGGAGCAGCTGTTGGACCTTCTCACCGAGATAGCGGCTCATTTAGGACCGAACGGCAACAGCAAATTCTTTGGAAGTCCATAATCCCAGAGTTTAAATATACATCTCCTGGGCCACAGGCAAAGCTTTGCATAAACTTACCACAGGTAAACAACCCGCAACACTTCCTACAGAATGAAGCACATTTTATTTGCTTAAAGTGCTATTTCCCCAACCTCAGTCCCTTTTTGTATTTATATAATTTTATTTCATATTTAGCCTGTATATATTCTTTCAGGACCTATCTGCAATGGTGGTCCTCTGGAATGGCACACGCAGCGTGTTCACTCCAGCTCACATTTTCAAAAGCAATGTGATAAGGACTGCCCTGCCCAAGCAGCCCCGTTTCTGAGGGCTGAATTTTCAGATGGCAAGTATACCACACGTTCTGAAAATCAGGTATCCATAAGGAAAATTGAGGTTCACAAAATCTTCTCCCCTAAAATAAAGATGGCAGCTAGGGAGATTATCATGCATTTTTGAGTAGTAAACGGAACATCTTAAATGTCACGGGTTTAGGATTATGTTTTACTTTCTGTAGGACTCAAGGCCTGAAGCTATAGCATGCAAGAGGCACTTCAAAGCATTTTGTACTCCTGACTCATCTCAACAGACTTTATGTTGTTGCTCCATTTGGATTCTTTTAATGCTTGTGCCACTACTTTGTTGTTAATTTTTCATATAGTCCTAATTAGTCAAATGACCCATGGGAAAATCTGTTGATTACTTTATAACTTAGTTCAAATCTATTCTATTTATAGCCAAGGCCAAATTGTCCAGCGTGTCATACAGAGACTTTTTCCTTGATGATAATTTTAACGATCTGAAATATTAATGAGATCCTACTGAAAACCTACAGCAGTGTTTGCGGTAAGACTCTGTCTTCTATCAGCTGTCAGACCAAATTCAGCTCACGTTTGCAGCTGCAACCATATTAATTATGAAAGTGTTATATGCACTTCACTGGAGTCACGTAGGGTTGAATTTGCCTGCACAGTCTGTATACCATGTTGTGGATATGAGGCTTCTTGGTGCAAAGAAAATACAGGTTTTTTTACATTCCTCCTCTGAAGACAATACCTGGACTACTGGTGGCAATACGTGAAGATGACATGAAATTACATTAAAGGAAAACCTGAGGTATTTATAATGTGGAAATAACTTTATCCAGAAAATTTGAAAACTGCTTTTTACTGTCTTCCTCCCCCCCGCTCTCTCACACAGGCTGCAGGCTGTAAGAGCAAACAAGCAAACAGAAAAACCCAGGGCACAATCTGGCCAGCACAACCGTCCAGGTGGGCGGCGTTGGGGCGGGAGACCCTGCCACCGCCCTGCTATCTGCACGGCACAGAGGCCTTGCAGTCTCCAAACCGAGCACAGAAATAAGAGGAACCCATCGGGAGCACTGAAAACTCGAGCTCCCCAAGCAAAACGTTCACACTCGCATGCATGCACATGCACACACACGCAGAGAGGGATCCTGATGGTTTAGCCCTCGTGCCCAGGGTCGGGAAGGGATGAGGCAAAACGCTCTCCCCTGCCATAGCTGGGTGCCGGCGACTGTACAAACCTCAGTGGCAGTGGTCTCACCATCAGCTGCAGTATCCGTCTGCTCACTGTCAGTCTATTTGGTTAGACAAGTAACCAGGTCCCAAGAGGAAGGCAGGAATAAAGAATAAACCCAGCTCATCAGTACACACGGCTCACATGGGGCACTGTTAAATTCAACATCCCTGTGAACTGCATTAGCATTGCTTTTCAAACCACGCACAAGTCAAAGAAGCAAAATAAAATGCTATATTAGTAAACAGAACAGACTCAGAGGAAGACTTGAGGCGTACTGTACACAGTATATGGCTTTACTGGAACAAATTTATAAGCCAAACAAAACTTTACTGGAAAAGTGTTATTTGAATAGCGGATTTTTTTCTTAAGAAAGCCAGGTGGCTTTAAAAAAAAGGGGGGGGGGGGGAAGCTAATATTTTTTAAACAAACTTTTCCTCCCATAATGTTTTTTTAAATGAAAATTATTCATCAGATTTTTTTTCTAGCCAATATAGATTAATGTGGTGGTTGACTTTTTATCTGGAGGGGGAAAAGATAATTAAAAAAAAAAAAAAAAAGGCTACTTTAACAGTCACCTGACTTTCAGCCCCTCATTTGTACAGAAGTTGTTCTTGTCTCCACATTTATACACCATGAGGCTGTCTGCATTACCAAAGAGTTCAAATAACCATATCCCCAGCCCATCTACTGTCTGTCTGTGGAGTAATGGTAAGGCTTAGATCCCACTCGGTTCCAATAAAGAGCAGCTGATATTGTTACCAATAGTAAAAAGAAAGAAAACTGCCATTAAAAGAATCAAAAATACTTCTCATTCCGTTTAAGAATATGGATGAAAGCAGGAGAAAAATAAAAGTAACTCCCCCCACCCCAAAAAACACTTACTAGGTACGAGTGATAAAAATGAAACAAAGCACAGCATTGCACAGACTGATCTATCCCTGCTTTGCTTGACACTGCGAAGAACATTTTAGCGGACAATGCAAGTGTCAAGATTTAATAAACAGAGAGTCAAATGTAGGTTACTACAGGCTGAGAAGAGAGTTCAAATGACTATTTTTGGTGTTACGCAAGCTTATGGAAAACCAGTAAGTACAGAAAGTGCTCCCTACTGCCCCAGATTGACACATCCAAGTTGTTTTAAAGCTCTGGTTTTGATTAGTGATTTTCTGTGGGCCTTAGATAATCTAAAGTAAGCCAGGCAGGTAATTTAAAGCTAAGACAATACGTCTCATCCTCAAATCACATCAATATGAAACAAGAGAAAAAAGCAACCTACTGGTGGATGGAGTATCAGTCTTAATTTTGAATTTCCTATCTTCTATCGTTTTCTGACAACTCTAATGTTTCATAAAACTGCCTCTTTGATATTTTTTCATTGCTTTGTTTTCTATCTTTCCTTCCTTTGAATAATTTGTATTGCTTGTATGACAGGCAGAAGAATAAGCAGGCATTTTGTACTATTTCCGTAAGTGCATGAATGCAAGTTACATGCAATTTTTCAAGAAATAACCACTCACTAGACAGACCACTTTTAATTTTAAATGAAACTGTAATGCCAATATAGTCTACCTAGCTGGTCAAATTGCTTTCACTAAAGTGTTAGAAAATTTTTTCTTTATTAGTGAAGGGTCTGACATCTTTCTAACATTATAAGCAATTGTAAAAGTATGACAATGTAAAAAAAAATAAAAAAATCTATACACTGCCACTCCTATTTACAAAAAAAAAGAGTAATTAATGAATCTAGGCATTTAAAAGGAATTAAAAGATTTGTGTCAAGGCACTGTTACATGTGAGTCTGGCACGTAGGGTTCATTTAAGAACTTGAAGCTGGGAACATTAGAGAAAAGTCAATAGAAATATTAGCTGCTAAGGTACAAACACAGAAGCTAATGAAATCTAAGGGGTGATTCTGTCTCCGACTGCATAGACTGCCTCCAGATGCACTGCTTGAGGGAGAACAGAACTCAACAAGGTATGAGATTGGTTCAGGATACTGGTTGTAGCCTTCTGCATTGCTGTGTGCAATCCTTTGTGAACTGGGGGGGGGGGGAAGGTTTCTGTTTCTTTTACCATAACAGCAATGAAATCCTAAATAAGGCATAAAATTTGCTTTATTGCAACATATGTGTCTGCTAATAAGCCAATCAACAGCCATGGAGTTGAAGTCAGAATTACTGAGTTACTTGAAATAAAGATCTGGGGTTATCGCAGAGCAGGGAATGTGAATTAAGGCTGAGCAAGGCAGGTCTCCTCCGGAGCGCATAGTAAGAAAGGTCGGGCTCAACTCTGAGGCGGGCTGCAGTGCAGCTGCTGGTGGGGCTCGTGGGCGGGCGAGGGATCGAGCAGGAAGGGAAGGCAGCTACCTCCTGAGATGCTGCGGCTGCACCTCCTCTAACGTGCGATCCTAATTGCTGTGATTTGTTTTGCCAATGTAATGCAGACATGCCCGAGTTTAAAACATACTCACTTTCATGCAATATTTTGAACAAGAAATATCCCCTGGATTAGGCACAAGTCTGTGTTGTCTGCCAGGAAGCACTGCCAGAGTAATCACCCTCATAAAAAAGCAACACTAAAAAGCCTATTTTACATGGTTTTATGCTCAATACTTTCTAACTTTACTAACGAAAAGAAGTGCTCATTTCTGAAAGAGGAACAGACCAATGTATTACATAAACACTGCCTCATTATTGCCTCTGGAGCCGGCACTGTATTAATGCTGTTATTGCTATTAGATTAATCCAAGTGCAGAGCTAATGCAAATTGAGACCCAAATGCTATCTCAAAATGAGGACATGAAATGAGACCGCAACATTTTGGATGCCTTTTATCAGAAATTGCACATTATTATTTAGTTGTTAGGCATCACAGAGCCAAAAGCATCTAAAGACAATGTTTTTACAAGATAAATTGATGTGACTTTTGGCTTTCCATAAAAAGGAAATGAAATCCTGCACCAAGTCTAACAAAACCAACAGCAGCAGATTACACAAATGTTTAGATGTGCAAGCTGGTTTACTGAAGACAATTCCTGCAACGGCATTAACAAGTGGCCAAGATGGCTTTTTACAAACGGCCAACTCGTCTGCGATTATCTGATCTGGAGTCTTTTTACATACAAAGCAAAACCATATTTCTACATTTGAAGATGAAGGGGGAAAAAGAAAAACAAGGCAAAAATGAACTCATCACTTTATTCTGTCAACAAAAAAATAACTAGGCACCAGCAAAAACTGAGATGCCAGTTACTCTGTTACTTAAACAAGCAGTTTCCTTTCCTTCTTCTGGATATACTACCGCATCCACAGTTCCCAGAACCTCTGGGGACTCCTACTGCAGTTGGTTTATCTGCCTGTGATAATCCTGGTGGCTTGAGGCATTAGTTTTGGCAGCGCTAATTGACCACTGCAAATGGCAAGATGGCCCACGTGGCATGCTCTCCCAAAAGCTGCGCAACAGCTGTCCCAATCTGACCTCTCACTGATACATTGGATTTAAGCACAAGAAAACAGTTTAATCTGCAGCAGAGATGGGTTGAAGGCTGAAAAATCCAGATCCAGGTTTTGCTGGACCAGAAAGCCTTTTCTGGGCTCGGGCTGATAGCCTCTTGCAAAAAGCTGAGTCCTCCTCAATTTTGAACATGCTGAAGTTGGTGAGGGTGCCCGTTGTTATTGGGTAGCTAATTATATAAATATAATGTATATGCATCCATATGTAATTATGCAGGAAACTGTACTTAATACCCACTATTTAGATAGCTATTCTAACCCTAGTGTAAAATGATAGGGGGAAGAAAAGGTCTTGGTGGATTCAGATACAATACTTCAGAGCTGATCAGTGGCAATTTGTTCAGTGCAAGTCACTTTGCATCAGCTGACACAGTTCAAACCAAGCCACTTCCACACAGTGTTGTGCCTAACCCTGGGCCCCAAGCTGCACTCCCAACACGAGAAAAAAAGTTAAAAAGAAGAAAAAAAAAAAACAACTCCCAAACCAAAAAAACCAAACCCACCCCTTCTAACATATCAGCACAGACAGAAATGAGGCTCTGAAAGTAGGACCACTATTGCAGCAATCTAACACTGGTTAGGACTGAAGCACTGAACACGAAAAAGAGTGTGTTCGATGCCGAGGTACACACCTCTTCCTCTGAACTGTCACTCAGGTCATTGGCAAGTGAGGCACTCAAGGAGGCCGCCTTGGGCTCCAGGTAGCAGAGGCACATAGCCAGAGGAAAGGAGAGAGTGAGGGCGTATGGCACTGAGAAAGAGGCAGAGAGCAGAAAGAAAAAAATGAAGAGGAAGCAAGGCACCAGGGAGGGGGAGCGGATGGGAAGGAAGTGCTGCACGCTGGCAGGCAGGAGGTTGGTTTCAGAGAGGTTAGGGAGCGACAGGTAGCCGTCGTCATCCAGGAGGGAAGGAAATGACTCTGGAAGTTGCAAGGAGAAGGAAAACAGTGTTCCGCCTTTGCCAGCTTTTTGCTTATAGCCAAAAGCCACGTCTTGCTCAGCGGAGCAAACTCGCCCCTTTCTATCAGAGTCTAGCTCGGACTCGCCATGCTTTGGAGCGCTCTCTTTGGGCGCCTCACAACCTAAGGACTTTGTTCGAGCGCTCTCCTTGCATCTCCTGCGAAGCTTTGCTGAAGATATGTGGGGGCCAGGCTGTGAGGATGGCGAGGGGTGGTAGGAGTCAGTGTCAAGCAAAGATGGCTGGTGACAGAGAAAGAGCAGCAAACAAGGCGCAAAAGCAAAAGGACAAAAAGAAAACTGTAATTAGTTAATTTTCTTACGTGATGATAAATAATATATATATATAAAATTATAAACAGTATTTTAACACCACAGCTTTCCACTGAGTTAAATGGTGCATGTTCTCATGCCACACACCACAGGTATTAGTGAGTCAGGGTTACAGCTTACAAAAGGCAACTTCTTGATTCAGCATTTGTCTAGTCATCTGCAGCAAGTGATTTACATAAAAACCTTCACAGCCATATGTGGAGTTTCAGGTGCTGCCAATTTCCACTTACTGTAAGACTGGCTTCAGATCATAAGGAGCTTTCAAACATGAAGTACACGGAGAGCAACAAAGAAACCAGGGAATGTATTTTTAATACCAACACTGCTTGTGATAGCAGTCTTGCAGTCAGCAGGAGACCCAGTGGGGGCCAGATGCTTCCCATCTTGGACAACCTCAGCAGTAATAACTAAAAACCCAAGGACTTAAAACTGTATGTGCCCAAATTCCTCCATTACTATTGTAAAAAAATTTTACAAATCTTAAACATTTAAAAAAAAAAAAAAAAAAAAAAATCTAGGTCCTTAACCTAAAAAACCCACATTCTGGTTTAGGGGGGCATAAAACCATACAGCAGCTGTTACCAATGGAAGAAACTGCACTAGCTCGATACCTACTCCAGCAGCCAGCCCCTCAGCATGGCTCCCATCACCACCCAGCCTGCCCTCTGACCAGCATCCCCACAGCCCTGCCCTCACCTCTGCCCGCTGTGAGCCGGAGCGGGCAGTGCCGGGGGGCTGCCCTCCCACCGGCCACGCGCCCTGCTGCCCCTCCACGCTTCGCCCCACCGCTTCGGCAGCACAATGAAAGAAGGGAGCTGAGGGCGCTGGTGAGGCAGACCCTATGCTCTCTCACTGAGGGTCTGAAGGGGGGCTGACCAGAGAGGGGTCCGTGCCCCACACAGCCACATCTCCGCACAGTCAAAAAGTGACTCTTGACCCATAGCCAAGAGGTAAAAATGTACCCAATGCTTTTGCTACTAATTTTACCACAATGCAAAGAATATTGGCTCCCAACAAGCAGGATTTGGTTTGATATGCTGCTTGCAGGGCATTCAACCAGTTTTTACGGTCATTCAAGGACAAAAAATTGGTAGGAGGAGGGAGGTGATTCAGCAGGAGGGGTGACTGTCACCTAACACGCTCGCTGACGGCAGCCACGACTGCTCCTTAGAAGGACAACCACCGCCACTGCCACCAAAATACCCCAGCCACAATGCTGATGGATCAGGGACGTTTTGGCCAAAGTCAACTAGGCGCACTAAGCTGAAGTGGCAGACTGGCTCCGTGACCAAACCCTAAGTGCCTAAGCTGCTCCATCCACCATGCATCTCCTCAAGGGGCTATAAAAGCCATTTCAACCCCACTGCCCCTCCCAGCTCCCAAGAGCAAAATGACTTCAAAGCCAAAACAGCATTTGCCTGTACAAGCTGGTACCAAATCTGAGCCAAGAAGCAGCATCCAAGTTTTAGAGACAGTTTGCATCAATGCTAGCTACTAAGCCTAATCTTTACCAGGTATATTAACGATAGGAATGGGATTTAAGTCCAATATTTACATGGAAGAGCTCCTTCCCCTCCTCTTAACGTGTTGCTTCTCTCTCTTCTCTAACCAGAACAGTTAAAAAAACAATCTATCAGTTCAGACAATCTGTATTCCCGAATTAAGCAATCAAAACCAAGCCTAACTTCAAACCGCTTACAAATGTCTTCTTTATGGGCTTAACGCAGTAAGCTCAAGTCAAAATTTAATGCTGATGGACTCACAGGATTTTATGTGAGCTAAATACACAGAACTTCTCCTTATATTGTAAAGGCAAAAAAGCCAAAGTAAATTTATTCTTTGCTAATACAGACTACTCACTTGCTGACATCTTTGCAGTGTTAATATCTAGAATAACTTCTGGTACTTAAATACATATGGATAAAACAAAGGAAAAATGTCTTAGTGGAAAAGTTGAAGAGCTACCTAGAAAATTTATATACCCTCAAATAGGAATTTGATTTCAAATTTGTCTTGTGTTTCTTGAGACCCTATTCTCTTTATGATGAAAGACAAAGCTATTAGCAGGTTCAGTGGAAGCAGGACTGAGGTCTCTATAGGCTTATAGAACTGAAGCTCTCTTAACGGATGGTTTAAACAGAACCTGCCTCATGAGTGGGGGGTAGAAATCATTCATTTGTGCATGTACCATCAAAATATTATCCTACAAATATCTTTGATTACTTCTAGCCATATGTAAGAAACAGATGATCTTTGAAATGCAGCCGATCTCTCCATTGACCTAAATTAACAAACATTTGGAACAGAATCAGTTTCTATTGGATATTTTCCGCATATTTGATTTTCATCAATGTTTCTCCATGCAGAAACTAATGGAGTTTCTAGAAGAGCCCAGTTAAATTTTAGAGATTTTTTTTTTAATGCTCCAATTACAGCACACACTTTAAAAAGAAAATCTTTTCTTATCTGCAATTTTCAGTAATTCAATTTGTTTCTGATTTTTGGTACCTTAATTGCAACTCTTTTTTAAGACTTGATGCTTTAGCTATGTAGCTCATTGAGGCCTTATATGACAAGGCTAGAAGTTCTGGTTCTAACATTTGCACGCATGACAGTTTTGTGGGTGTAAAGGTATACATCAAGGTTTTTCCTCATAAATGAAGAGGGTAAATCTTACTTGTTTAGCAAGCACATTCCATAGTACACTTTTTGAATGATATCCTAGATTCAATATTTCACATGCTGTTTTCTTCTCCTCAAATGTAATAGAAACAGAGGACATTTTATACCCAAACTTTTCTGATTCTACCGTATTTCTCTTCATTGTCAATCTCTGAAATTCAGTATCTTCTCTGTCCTCATTTGATTTACCCCATCTTAATAACTCAGTAGATATAATGCAGAGCCATATGTGTGGTGGTGGGATTGGAGATGGCGAGGGATGAATCAAATTTAACAACTGAGCATAGAATCATCAACAAAAACAGTTTTCTTCAATGCAAACTTCAAACAAGGGAAGCAAATGCTTCTGTAAGCCAGGAAGAAAAGCTTATAATAGTATATTAATGCCCCAAAGTTAATAGAGAAAAATGCTTATTGAAATACAAGCAAGGAAACAGCATTAGGAGAAGTACATGGGAAAAATACAATAGTTTAAAGCACAGAGGTACATACAAGAACACAGAACTATTTTGTTGCCTTGTCAAAAAATAAAAAACACAACGCCCATACTAAAGTCAAAATACGACTGAAGACCAAAGGAGCAAAACGTGCACTGCTGCCAGGCTACTTTTGGGTATTTCGTAAAGACCTCTTGAATGCTATGTAAAAAACACTATGCAGACTGCTAAACGGATTTCAAAAAACAGTCCAAGGCAGAACTAACTTTTATATCAACATATGAAATGCAAAAGGACTATAAAAATACCAATTCAAGACATGTATATATACATACATACAACCGTGTACATTCTAGTTTCCTTTCACGGAACTAGGTATGTCCTCCCTCCCTCCCTCACAATTCTGCGTTTCTCCAAGAGCTCTCCAGGCAGGTCAGTTTAATACAAAAACCTCAGAACTCTACCTTGGTGTCATGGCGTATTGCCGAGATTGGGGTGACCTCCTCTGCTCTCTTCTTTTTGCCCTCTTCATCATCTTTCTCTTCTTCTGCCTTCTTCTCCGGAGTCACAGTGGTTATCAAGTTGGTCTGAGAGATGCCCTTTGTTGTGGCGTACTGGCCAGTACCAACCTCTGCAGCAGACACAGAATCCTTCATGTACATTTCATGGTTTTCATTCACTGATGCTAAAAGCAAATATTTAAAGAGGGAAAGTCTGAAATAGCTTTTGCTGAGAAGCTGCATAAAATTAAAAAGCTGGGTTAGTAAATCATTTGAGATACTGCTGAAAACACAACTATGTCATGTTTCAGGAAACCAGAAGCATGTGCATCCATTTAAATAAAACTGTTTACTTGAAAGAAAACCTGTAGCTTTTATATGCATAAACGTATATTATGGATGTGTATACACACATTACTGTAGCTAATGTGCGCATTACACAGCTGTTAAATGCTAGCAAGCCATTAAAAGTGCTACTGTAGCAAAACATCAGAAAAAAATCAATGCGTTGCCAGAGTTATCAGGCAGGAAACATAAGGAGAACCAGCTATGACATCAGCCACGGGGGTGGAAGAGATTTTTTTGGAAATCTGTCAGAATATAACAATGCAGTAAGTAATGTGCTGCATTACAGGAAATGACAATATTGATGAAACACAGAATAATACCTGAGAATCAAGAAGTGGGATCTTTGTATTACTGAGTATTAAAGTCTGCCAGTTAAGTGAGCTCATTGTCCTAAGAAATTCTGGGAAGTGATGGCATTCAATTCAGTGGACCAAACCAGAATAATTTAGATGTAAACATTCTATAATTCAGCAAACTTAAATATATATATAAACAATTTTGAAATAAATAGTAAATTTATAGATAGAATGTAATCAAAACATTAATATGCTCTTGACTACTGTGTAACTAATTTCTAAGTCAAAAGGACTATTAGAATTTATGAATTTACTTGCACCTGTAACAAACGACAGGGCCAGGGTCACAGTGTAGTTGTGATGCAGAATGTTACAGCCACAGTTGCGTTACAGTAACAACATTAGTGAAAAAATCATAAGCATTGATTAAAAAACCTCTTTTCCCCATTTGCACTTATGCAAATTAACATAATAAAAACCTTGCGGAGTCCAACAAATGCTGGGAAAAAGCATTTCAGATCTCTTGTCTCTCGGGAATAATCTTAGGAGGCAGGAGAAAGCAAAGGGACTAGAGGGAGACATCTTGTTTAGATGTTACAAACAAAATAATGCAGAAGGGTAATTTCTGCTTTGAGACACATGCACAGCAATCAGGTCACCAGTTGCTTGGTAACAAGCAAGAAGCACATCAGAATTAGAAGATTCCAAAATAATTAATGACAAGCAGCACCTTTAGGGGAAGAAAAGAAGGCTTGCCACTAGTACTTTTAAATGAAAGCTTCTCCCCCTTCCCACCATCAACTATACTCATTGCAGTTTGTTTGTGATATTCTGCAGGAGAATTCACCTTTTTTTTTTTTTTTTTTCAGACTGTAGCAATTCTGAATTTAGTCTCAGTCTTTTTTTCTACAAGAATAAACTACACCCTCTTTTTTACTCAAGAGCTGACAACAGTAACAGCTGATGAAGTAGCTGAGACTCTGAATCACACACTGGTTTAACCGAAGGGAGCAGCAGAACCATGACCTCCATGAACCGCGGAGAAAAAGAGGAGGAGGAAAGACGTACTATTAACCTGCATATGTTACTCTCCATCTCACAACTTCAAAAGTAATGTATGGAAATAGCCTGTTAGCGCTCATTCGACTAGGACACGAGGTAATTGGAAGCAAGTGTTATTACTCAATCGAAGGCAATAATTCATTTATGAATTGTAACATATACTTAAATGAAAAACCTACATAGCAAAAAAAGCCAAATTAAACCAAACCTCAAACAGTTACTCATGCAAACCCTGAAAATGCGTTGAAGCCTGACTTGGGCAGGCGGGCAGGTCCAGGCGCCCTGTCCTTCCCCAAAGCTGGGAAGTGCTTTGCAGATGTGAGGCCAAGGAGAGAGGCTCCATGAAGAGTGGGCTCCCAAGGGCCTCCTCCAGGCAAACACTTTGTAAGGACCACAGCAGTACATTTTTTACCACAGTATTTCTCTGTGTCCTTCCCGACCCCTGCAGTGAACATGCAGGTACTCACAGCCTACACTCAGCCGATGCTCAAAGACATGAGATAAGAGGTTTATACCTAATCTAAAGCAGTGACCACCGTGATGATAACTTTTGACAAAGTCAAGTGAGAGGACCTTACCCCCATCTAAGCTGCGAGACATAGTGTAACGTTTACTAGAAGACCGCTCAAAGTAAGGTGCGGGACGGTCTATGAGGGCGCTGGCTCTTCTCGTCTGGGCCTGTGTCCGGCCACTGTAGCGAAACTTGGAACCCAGCGTAAGGAACTTCTTTGGAGGTGCTTCTGGCAGCAAGAGCCTAAAACACACCGAGCAGTGTACCTGTTACGCCCCCTCCTCCAAAAATCAGTCCACTATTTCTGCAGAGGACAGAAGACAACTGTTGGGTATCACTCTCCATTGTAACCTGTGCCTCACGGGTCTGTGACTAAAAGGGAATCAAAGGATGCCCCTCATACAGCACAACAAAACCACTTAGTAATGCATCTGAGTTGCTGAGTTCTTCCTAACAGGCAAGAATCACTCAGTCCTTCCTGCTGCTTGAAAATCAGATTTATTATATTTTAATCACTGAAACCAAAAATAAGGTGTTACTTACATCAGGGACCCTGATCTAGGCTGAAATACAGACATATTTCTTATAGTTCAAATTTAACATGGTGCTGCTATGCTGAGGACAGGGCCAGAACAGATCTCCAGTGAATGCTGGGCAGTAGTCATTCACAGGGATGCAGACATTTTTCAGGTTAGAGCTTTCCCACCCTCTGCATTTTGGCTATGGGAGTTTGCTGAAGAAGCCATTCTCCTGCTATGGAGTTTATGCTTTAGACATTGATTTTCCATTAAAAATCAGAAAACACCCCCAAAAATACACATTCAATTTCTTTTTAGATCTTTTGCTGCTAAGACGGCATTTCATATGAACATACAGACAGCCTGAACCAACAGTTTTAAGAAAGGAAAGACATTCTTCAGTCCTCCCAAACACCTTGAGAGGGGCTTTTAACCACTGGATGCCCTTTCACACCATTGAAAAACTCTCCCTTTTGGGTTTCCATTGTTAAGTATCTCTTTGCTGACTATCTCAGCACAAACTAATTACAACATTTATTCCACTATCCCAGACTCTTGTCAGGTCGTCTTAGATGTCAAAAACATAGCTGCAAAATTCCTCAGTAACACAAAAATTACAGCTATGGATTGGGTATTCTGGGTGAACAAAAAAATACACCACTGACTACTGTCTGTATTTTCACATGTAGTTAAATAAAAATGTCCTTTTTTTTAAACTCTTACCCACATCCCCCAGTAACTTTCCATATAAGTTGTTCTCCCTATATAGGCATATGTGCAGAAGCGCAGCAGAGTCCTTCGTCTCTAATTATAGCGGCTGATAATATCATGGCACAGATAAAGCAAAACGATTAATTGGGACCATATGGTGATTTTAAACATTCAGTATCTATTTGAAATAGTATGAATAATACAGGTGAAACATTTCGAATTTTGAAGAAGCAACAACCTTCCCTTGTCTGCTCAGAGATACCTCGTGATCAAAAAGACAATTTGATTTGAAGGGTTTTGTCTCTGCTGACAGCATTGGTCTTTCCTGTTCTGTTTTATATCACAATTTTAGGAAAAGAAATCCACATACCTGAAAAATGTATGGTGCTCAACACACACTTTCCATAAGCGCTTTGCAGCACGATGATTTGGCAACTTAAACCCAATAGTGCTTTCAAACTGCTCAAACTAGGTAGGAAAAAAGAAAAAGTATGTCTTTGGTGCTGTGCATCTATTTTTAGATAGTGTACACAGCTTCATCTTCATTTCCTCCACCTATATTGTCTCATTGCAGGGGTGAATGTATATGCTCATGTATATAACCACATAAACACACATTCTACAGACTACTGCCTGTGAAGGAAGCTCTGAGTGATAATCAACAGCAACCTCTGAGGATCGTTTTTGGGGGGAAACCCAGATAATGAGCAAGAGGTTTTTGATGGTGACAGTGATGTTTTATGCCCTATAGCAACAAAGAGATCAGTTAAGACTTGGGAGACTTCTGAGAAAAACATCATTTAAGTGTTCTAACCCTGTTGTTCTAACTTCACCAGTTTAAACAGTGGGAAGCCGGATAATAGTCTGGAGGGGAGCAATAGTCCCCAGGGACTGATCTGGTCTCACGCAGCCTTAGATTAAGGAGATTTACAGTGAAAGAACTACAGTTAGTAAATCACAGTGTTTTTAGCTAATTTATCTCCTGGGGAGGATGAGGAAGACAGGTAATTGAAAAGAGTCGGCTGGGGATACTAAGGGATGTTTCTAGCTTGTGCTGCAGATTTATATATTCCAGACGCAAAAGCTGTGCCAGCTACAACCGCTGTAACATGTTGATGGCCGCATGCAGATAGCTGAGTAGGTGAAATAGTGTTGCTGTGATCGGAGTAAGGTAGGCAGAAGGGCACTTGTAAGGAAGCCTGGATCCCTACGGGGAGCTGACAGAGAGAAACAAGGCAGGAAACAGCAAAACAATAAAGATGATATAAGCAACACATGGTGTGGTGAATCACACTATCATCAAATGTGATTTGTAAAGAGACTGCATTGATTATTTTGCATAAGGAACTATGACCTGCTCACAGGACTCTAGAAATGAAGACCAGCAGAGCTCAGTAGGGCTTCAGTGGTGGGGAGCTGGAGTGCAGGCACTGGGAACATCAGTGGCTGTACGTTTGGGGGTTTTTTAACCAAACTCAAGACTGGGAATTTGGTTACTAAAACTGTGTCTGCCGACAGGCAGGAGGAGATGCAGGTTTGTGGATTTTGGTTTAGGACTCTAAGAAAGGCTCAGGCCCTGGGGCTGGTGGGGGCCCCAGCAGATTTCCCAGGTCACTTACGAAGTCAGTACTGGAGACATTGGCTCAGGACTCCCAACTGTCATACTGCATTAAGGGAGAAATGCCAGTCCTCGTCCAGGTGATTTCTGCCCTGCTATACAGCTCCACCCTCTAAAACGTACATAGGTTTTTCATCTATCACAGACCAATTATTGTACCAGCACTTAAAATGGAGACACTCCTTTGCCTGTGACCATCCTGAACTCCTTCTGGGATTTTTCCTAAGATTTATCGTCTTATTCCTGGGTTAGGGCACGCTCAGCCCGTGAGGTAGGTATTTGCTGTGTATCCGGCAGAGCCACGAGAGGGCACTCACTGTACGAGATTTCGCATCTCCTCCTCCAGAGCCAGAAGATAAGCTCCTGTGGGCCTGGGAGGGCTAATGCCTGTAGCTACCAGAAGTGCTGAATGACAGATGCTTGACTCCGTTTTTATCAGCCTCTGGATTTCTGCTCCGACTCCAAATGTACTAGTCTGATATGCTTATAAAATTTGGTATGGCCTGTCGACATCTTTTGGTGGTAAGATGAACAGATGCTAATTTAATATACAACATGACAGTGGATAACAAGCACTCCATGAATAAGCGATATGTTACTTAAATTCCCGAAGTATTCGTAATACAGATGAGCTTTATACATGCAGATGGCCATATTTATTCTTCATGTTAGTTCATGGATGTAAACAGAAAACACCAAAGAAGATTTTACCTGTATTTTAAATAAAGTATTTACCTAATCTTTCCTAAGAAAATCAGCGCAAATTAAAAAATACAAATGGAAAGGAATGTTAAAGGTTTGTAAGACATGACAAATCAACAAATCAATGAGAACATGGGTTTTTTGAAAAGGTTCATTCACTAAAGAGTGTCAGGATGCCCTTACCTCCCCTGGCCGGATTTTGATGTAGAAGTTGTTCCTCTTGTAGGAAATCTTCAGAACCTTTGGCCAGGCAAATCTATTTATTCTCAGTCTGTCTCGATATATTAAGAGACCACTTGCACAAACTCCTAGCATGATTTCCACTCCTTCAGAATCCTGAAAAAGCAAACAATGCTTGTTGAATATTTCTCTCCTCATATCCTACAGTACTACAGATTCTTGTATACTGTGTGTCTATCTGAGCTACGTCTTTTTAATGCAACAGCTGTAGTGACCTGATTTCTGAAAGGTACCCTACTCATTGACGGCATTCATGCAAGTAATAGTAAGGTTGGGCAGGGTGAGAGAAACTGAGAGTTGCGAATGTTTCCTTGTATTTTAGAAAGGCTCCAAAAGGAGGGGGTAAATTTTAGATGTTATTAGAAGAATGACATTAGCCATATAGCAAAATTTGATTAGCATAATGAAAAAGTGTTATTAGCATAAATACCAGATTGAAAGTTAAGTAGGACAGCACACAAATTTACTTCTCCCAGCATCACTCATCTCCATGACTAAGTCTTGTGAATCCTTAGACAGATTTTTCTTCTGTAGTTTGCTTGTCTTGGCTTTAGTTGGTTTGCTAGTTTCTTTAACACTGTCATGCCTATGCTCAGTATTTTCACTTTGAAATGACCAGCGGGCAGAAAAGTTGGGCATTTGGACCAGAAAGATTCTTTTAGAAGTGTGCGACTGTGCCTGTGCTATAACCCATATTTGACAGGGAAGCTGTAGTTCAAACATGTTAGCTCGACAAAAGATTTGGCCACAATCTTATCAGAATATACCCATAACTATGTGGTTTTTTAAGTAAGAAGTATACATTTATCTTTCCTTTAGAAGCCTTCAAATAATATAAAATAATATAAAATAAACCAAAAATAAACCAAATAAATAAAATAAACCAAATCTTCACTGTTTGCTATCACCACTAGCCTGTATAATTCTGTTTTTTTTCATTTAGCTAACCACTAATACTGTTGGAGAAAAGAAGGATCCACCTTAAAGCACCGAGTTCTTCGGTAATTATTTTAAAATAACTTAAAGTTACAAAAGTCTGACAACAGAAGCTATGAAGATGTCACCCTGTGATAATCATGAAATGAATTCATTGATTTCCTCTGGTTTTCCCAACAAGCCATCTTTAAGGCAAACAGTGAAAACCAGATCACATTTTAAGATGCACACAAAGGCATGCGTGGTCAGTCACGATGGAAAGGCTATGGCACAGCTTGAAATACAAAAAAAAAAAAGTTTTAAAATCAGAGATGCAACATAGAACTAGTGCCACAAAGTCAATCCAGTGTTAGAAAACACGCCAATAGAGGCTGTATGTTCCAACAATGATGGTATCACCCCTTAAAGGTACATTTTTTCTAAATAAAAGCTCTCATCTGATATCACTGTCAGGTACTACAGAAAAGACAAAGCTAATTTTTTGCAGTGGACTTCAGTCTCACAGTTTCCTAAGCAAAGAGTAACATCTAAATACAGAGTATACAAACAAAAAACCCCAAAGTCTCATTGCCAGTAATCCCACTGCCTGGTGAGCGCCTGAAATGCACATGTGCTCACATATGGCACATAGCTGCAGGTGCAAGGGGCTCCTTCTTTTGATATACTTTCTCAAAAACTTGTTGAGAAATGCCTTCTTCCCTCATCCCCACCTCTGCAGCAGATCTAAGTCCATTCAGGTTTCTGTTACTTGTTGGTGTCAGAGACTGCTTTTCAGTGGGATACTATTGGTGTAAAATGAAACCTGAATAAAATAATTTGGCTTTTTTCAGGAGCGATGCGGTTGCATAGAACAGAAAACTGTTAGCTGTAATGTCTGAAGCACGAGACACTGAGCTGCACATCCCTGCAGCTCTGCATACCAATGGGGGGGCTTTACCAGAGCAGTGACAGCCCAGAGGACAAATCTGTCTACTTGAACACATTTTTTATGGTAGCCTTGTGTTGGATAACTGAGAACTAGTTTTAACAGCAGCTGGTGAGTCCAGCATCTGTCGAATACCTAAGATACTGGCACAGCCTTAATGAATTGACATAGAGACATCTGCCACGGCGTGACTTCAAAAAGGCATCCACAGAGATACTTGTCCCCTTGCCTGATACCATCTGATCTCACTGGCAGACCTCATTAAAACAAAACATTACTTCTCACGCAGAGTCTACTTTTCACACCTTCAGTTCAGTTTCCAAGATTACTGTTGGGTTTCTTAATCCATGGGCAGACCCAATTTGGTTACCACAGCAGCTTTTCAAATTCAGAACATCACTTTAGAGAGAGATCAGCTTGCCTACCAACTTCTCTTGCTCTGTGTCTTTCCATATGAAAAACAGAAGAGTAAAACTGGATAGTACTATTTTTTAGGGAAGTTAAAAAAAAAAAAAAGGCTACCTCAGGATATCCTATCTTAAATTTCACAGCCTTTCTCCATTATTGTGAAAAAAATACTCGGGCCTTAATGCTATGCTATGTAAAATTTTCAGTAACAAAGCCTGTAATGTATTTAGAACAGGAACTTACTTTGTTGCTGTTTTGCAGATTTCTTTGTGTTGGACAAAGGATGTTGGAAAAAAGCTACTGAGTGACATTTACCAATCCGTTTCTCTCTCTGCTCCAAATGTGCCTCAAGATTTTGTGCCTATCTGCAAGACACAGGGAAGGCAGTGGCATGCCTCCTGGTGGAGTGCTGCCCATTGAGCCATACCCCGATTCTTCATTTGCAGTAAAGGCAATTAACAAAACACAAAAGATTGCCTTGAATTCTGGAACACACATGCACAGCTCCTACAAAATCCCCCAGGGACATGGTTGCAGGCCCTTTCAAGATCCAAGCTGCAAATTTATCTCGGTTCTTGAAAGGATCTGCTGCAGAACAAAAACAGGCTCACAATAATTTGACCTTTACAGAAAATGCAGCTCTCTCCACAGCTCAGGATTCTTTGTTCAGCACTCACTTGCCAAGGATGCTTGCTAACCTCAAAGATGTTAAAATCCATTAGCCTTACTTTGAAGAGTGAAGAGAAAAATAGTAATTATTTACTTGGAAAAAAACCATAAAAAAACAGACAACCAACACAAAGCTGGTAGGTGGCTCTCCCAAGACACAATAAGAATGACCATGTTTTATTTATAACTTAACCTGCCGATGATTAGAGAAACTACTTCAACATGGGAGAATGTTTCCAGCAGAATTACTGCCCTTCCAGTCAAATGCAACAACCATACTTCAGAAGAGAGACAAGCCACTGTCTCCCCATTACTATCTGATTAGGTTTCCAGCACGGCTAAATAATTGCTTGGAAGTTCTCTTCAGTGTTAGAAATGATCTGTTTATCTAGTTTAGATACCATAGTTGGCCTTATTAAATTGGAAAATGTAGCTGAATGAAATGACAACTGAACACTCTCTGGACAGCTTCTACCATGTTTCCTCATTACTCCGTCCATACAATATTTTCCCAAAGGATTTGGTTGTTTAATCAACAAGAAAGGCTGATGTGCAACAACTTTGAATCTACAGGCTAAGTTATGTTAGAGTTACGAAATATATTTATGCTTATCCCATGCTGACACATGATTTATCCCACAAAATGCCTGCCTCAAAACAAAAAGAAAAAAATAAATCATAGCCTCCATGCAGATTCAAGTACTAAGCCACAGGAGAAAGATGACTGGTGAAATAACTAGAGTACCTACCTTGGCATGATGGAGATCTACTCCATACATTGACAGTTTTTTGGCATTCTCCAGGAAATGCATCTCAGCCTCTGCAGGTGTCATTCCCCTGAGGAAAAGCAACCAATTCTAGCATCAATGTTAAGGAAAGAGAATCCAAAATAAAAATCCAGCAGCTGGAAAACTTTTTCAGCCTGTCAGAACTACAGCCGTACCCCTTAGGTTGCTGGGTACCTACCAGAGCCAAAACTCCAGTGCAGACCCTGTTATCTTTCATGCTGCAAAGCTCTTCTTTAACTGAAGACACAGAGAGGAGTCTTGTCCAAAAAATATTCTTATTAAGTATACCGCAGCACATTTTAACATTTCCTCATGCACCAGGACGGTACCTGAAGGCAGGCTACAGCCCCCACTGATGCCCTCTGCCTACCTGTGGCTCTTGTGCAGCTCGATCACTTTATCCTCCAGCTCTTTAGTGTGATTTGGTGCAAAGCGAAATTCACTGATGTAGTCGCTGCCGTACTCGTCAGGGTCATAGTCGCCAAGCTCTGACTGTACAGTGTAGGAGCCTAGCAGGGCCAGTGTGACGAATGAGCAGGGCAGCCGACCCGACACAATGTCATCTCTCAGCTGCAAGCAGAGGTAGTACCTGCAACGGAGCACCAAGGTGGCTCAGAAAGTGCTCCTCCACTGCTGCTCCCAAAGGAGCACCATTCAAGCACCGGCAAGAGGCCTTGGTTCTTCTACTAATTTGCAGACAACTCCCAAGCCCAAAGTTTTTCAGGCATTAAAAAGGATAATAATAATTTTGAAAAATAACCCAACCCCAAAACCTTGCCTAACTTATGGGTAGCAACGTAGGATCTCTTAATAAAACAGGTTATTACTTTGTTTAGTGACCTAGATGGAGAATTACCCATTAAACATACCAGGTTTCCATCATAAACCACTAAGATATATAGCTATCTGATAATTCTTTTATTTAAGGAGAAAAAAAAATCATTTCTTTTGGAAGACCTCTATTGAAGCGTGAACTCTTTGTACACTGTCTTTCTGCACAGTGCCTAGCACATGGGACCTCTGATCTAAGCCAAACGCTTCATGCTACCTTAAAAGCAACAAACAGTCTACAAAGCAATGAAGGTTAAAAATATCCACAGGTCGCAAAATGCTGCAACAGGCTAGGGAACAGTTTGCTGATGGCACAAAACTCATCAGGGCTCAGAAGTTGTCCTGCCTTATACCAAGGAGGCAACAAGGTTAGAGGTTTTTTTCGGTTGTGGTTGCAATCCGAATACAAAACCAGAGAGCGGAGGTACAGATTGCAGACCTAAGTGACTTTGATAGCAGGGGGCAGTCATTCATTACCACCATATTCTCTATACCGTGCACATCAGTTGCTTACCTTGTCAAATGAGATACAAAATTTACACAGATGCTTATTCTCATCCCACTTCTTCCCCTTCATAGTTATGATTTCCCTTACAATAACAAATTCTTAACACTGGCAAAAATAGGCACTAGGCATCTTTGTGAAAATTAAAATCAACTCTCAGGAATTTGTATATCAGAAAAGCTGGGGTTTAGGGTTAAATTATACAAAAGTCATCTTAGCTCTAAGGACAGACTCTGTTCACAGTGTCTTTTCTGCCAAAGCATTGCACGTTTTCCATAAGCTCATAAGAGAAAAGAAGCCAATGGAAATACAAAACATTCCTTTTCTTGGATAATCAGAGTGTAAGCGCTACTACAAACAGCTTTTAAGCCCCTTCTAGAAAGGTATGTAATGTTTTAAACACCTGGTAATATCTTCAGATAGCTGGGCAGGGTCTGGAGGGTAGAATTTCACATTAAATGCAAACTGCCAAGCACCACCTGGAAAAGAACACAGATTGACTGAAAGTACACTGTAAGTGCAAACAGAGATGCTCATGCTGTTCAGTTACCAGCAGACTTAAAAATACCCCAGCCAAGCAATTCATAAGAACAGGATACAGTATCTTTTTCCCATACATCGTTCGGAAGAAACTACTTTTCCCTCTCACAATTACAGTATTAGATCAGATTTTACAGCTCTTTTCTTATTTAGTAAGATTTCCACTGAAGCAAGGACCCTAAGGGAGCAGTAGTTTATTACTAACACTAAAAAAACCCCCCTCGGTCTGAAAACAATGTTTACTGGAATTAACCATCTGAAAACACAGCCTATACAAGCTTTAAAAACCAATAACCTGAAATACAGAGGCGCTAGAAACACTGCAAGCCAGAGTACGAATGGGCTCCGGAGTGGGCTACCCAAACCAGCTCACAGCATCCTCTCAGAGTGCTATCTCAGCACATAGCTTCCGTCTCCAGCAGACATAAATTATTGTGCAGACAAAACTGCAAGGACAAACACTGAGAGTATGACTGAAAAACAGTACATAACACTGGAGAACTCTTATTTAGTTATTTCAGTAAGTTTAGGTGACCCATGGGATGGATACTGGTTTGCGTCACCACAGTTTGTGAAATTTTTTTTTGAGCATTAGCTTTAAAAGTTGTAAAGAAAGAATACTGAGACTAAAAAAGAGTTGAACATAGTATGTAAATATAAATGGTGTTCTGAAAAAAGGGACAGGTTATACTAGTGCATGTCTTGAACTCAAATAAAAAGCAGTAACAAAACCCCAAACCACAGTGTTTTTACAAGCAACACAGTGATTTTTCAGTAACAAGACTTTTCACCGAGACCTCCGTTGTGGGATATACCTCTTATATGTACTTCTACCCCATAAATTACAGTATTTCTGTAGTCAAGAAACCAAAGCCAAAGTAATGACACTTCTGTTTTCTGGAACACATTGATGTCACCGTACAAATCTAACTAGAAACAAATAGATATCTCTCGAAAAGTCTGTACTGGCCGTGTAATGAGGAAATACTCATGAACACTGCAAAAACGGGACTCTTCCTTATAAACCTGACAGGGAGGGTTTTCCCATGACCTTCAATTCAGGGACACCTTGTGTCTAGGTACCTCCTGAAGAGTATGGGGTTGGAAGGCGTATCTGGTGCACTCTCTGGTAAGATAGCTTATGTGCTGGACAGGTCTGCTTGCCTGGAAATACTGTATGGTTGTCCTAACTGGGCGTTTGGAAGTATTTATTTAGAGACAACAAGGAAATTTCATCCCATGCAAAGCCCCATCCACTTTGTTCATCCACACACCTGAGAAAACAGGCTCAATGTGCGAGAAGACTTTTGACATTTACCATCAGCTCTTGGTGAGACTTTTGGGCTCCTTGATTTTAGGAACTTTTCCACTCTCTTGGGCCATAAAAGCTGGTGGAAGGAAGATCAAGCTGGCAGCGAGGATGGGGCATGGCCCCACCGGGGAGCAGACCTGCCCCAACATGGGAATGGGGCCTGTGGGTGACACCTGGCCCCACGACAGAGGGAAGGGGCCATGGAGTGAAAATCTATTCCTCTGGCACACACAAAACATATCAAACCTATGATATAGCCTATCGTATAGCATGGACAGTTAAGATATCAGCGTAAGGGCCTTCACTCCTCACTTCCACCAACCACTGTGCAAGTTAGTGGGTTATAACTAATGGGGTGAGAACAAGGGCTGCACACATGGCGACAGCCTCATTTCTGAACCACTGGGATGAAATCCCTCTGGTCTGCAGTGGAATCACAGATATCTGAGTGTTGTACAACTCAACCAGCATTTAGCAGGATTATATATATATATTTATATATAGATATGTATGTGTCTTTGAAAGTGTCATGGGTAACAGCCCTACTTTTCCACCATTGTCCGGTTCCAAACTTCTAGGGTGAATCGTACAGAGCAAGCAAATTATTGCTGTCATCTTCTGCAAATACAACTGTCCCCTGCGTGAAGTCCAGGACGAGACTCTTCTACCCTGGTTAATCTCTCGCTGTCACAACCTTTCATTGTCTATCTCATGGCTCAGGCACATACTAAATGCATTTCAAATCAGTGGTATGGAGCCAAGCTGCTTTACTTGTATTGACCATCAGCCCAACTTGACTCACTGAGGTCTACAGCACCTTCCCTTCCAGATCCATCTTCTCAAGAGATTAAAAAAAGGCAGATTTTCATTACTTTTTATTGCAGATCACTTACTTTTAATGAAAATAATACTGGTGGAAAGGTGTGATTGCCCATAGTAAGTGGGGAAATTTTCCAGCCAGTGTAAATTAACCCTCTGAATCTTGGAGAGGGAAGTGATTCATTTGCTGGGCCTGACCCAACAAATGTGGACTACCAGATGTATTTGCTTGTGAAGAAGCATTTCCAGCATATTTGCTAGAAGAGATCATTTACAAAATGTTGAAACAAAAAAACTACTAAGGCTTTCCTGCCCAAAGAAGTCACACACACAAACATTTCATCAATTTTAAAAAGTGAGGGAGGAAAAAAAAAGCAGGTCAAATTTTAAGCTTGGCAGTCTTGACAAGGTTTTCCTTCCAGAGGTTTTTGAATTTCTAATATAGCAGATGGCTAAATTTAACAACTGAGCTTTTTAAAATATTCATGTGAAGCAGAAAATTGACTGGTTCTCTGTGAATTGAATGGTCATTTTAGGAGCAAAGTTCAAGCTTTAGAAATGCAGGAAGGAAAGATATTTTAGACAGAGTGCTATCTTTGCATCAGTGAAGTACTTCAGGATGGGGCACGAGCAGCATTCCTGGATACGATATAAATATCAGTAACGCAAAGAAATAATTTATATATGTGGCCTAGTCCCTAAGGTTATGTTGTGTAATGTCAAACTTCAGGTTTTTGCACCTCTGCAAACGTCAAGTTGATTTCAGCAATGCAAGTTCATGTGTTACGAGCCTCGGTAACTGCCTGCACTCATTATGGGGTAAAATACCTAAAAGATGCAGGTAATTCCTTTGCCAGAGACTTGAGACAGGATGCAAAAGAAGATTGTGAAATAGGCTGTGTCACCCTGGGGGGAGCACGCTCTCTGGGGGGGAGGCATGGAGAAGGGGGCCATAGCCCCATCCTGCCCGTTCCCTCACCCTGCAGGCAGCGGGGCTGGGGTGAGGGGCTGGGGAGAGGGGGCTGCCAAGCCCCTGGTGCTGGGGCCACCCTGGTGGGACAGGCCCGTCAACCCAAGAGCAGCGAGTTACCCCAGCTGTTTATGAACAAGCCCAGTGGACCAGAGGGGCTGGGCAGTGATGGGCGCCTGGTGCCCATGATGCCCTGCTTGCGTGCTGGGGAGCCCCCTCTGCCTCTCGCATCCTCGCTCAGTGCCACAGAGGTCCGGTGTCTTTGCAAAGATGGATGGCAGTTTACAGGAAGAGACTTTTTTGTGCAAATTTTTTGGGGTCCGGGTACAACAGAATGAAATTTTTCCAGACCCCCTGAAATAAACACACAAGCGATAACAAGCTTACTTCGGATCTGCTTCTTGATTTCCTTGGCAGGGTCCAACCAATTCTGCAAAGAAAATGTTTCCTTTTTTCAATTTGAATTAGAAAACACAATAAACATTATTCTTAAAACAGTGCTATGAGTAAAAGCTAGAACACGCGAAGGTCTGCCACCCCTTTCTCCCTGGAGCAGCAGCAGGCAGGGATAACACTAACTTCCAAGATGTGGCCCTGGGTAGAAGCAGGATTTTTATTAACCTTCACAGACATTGAGGGGCTAAATGGTTTGAAATAAAAAAATATAGAAATTAGTAAAATAAATGGACAGAAATCGTTTTCCAGAGTCTCTTCTGGGAAGATTAAATCTCTACAAACTTGTTAAGAAGGGTTTTGGTTTTTTATTTGGTTGGTTGTTTTTTTGCTCTAATCCTGGAAGGGCTGAAAAGCCTTGCTAGAGGATAAGCCAGTGTGGCATAGGGCACTTCCCCATTTGCAACCCGGCATGGGCATGGGGCGCTCCCTGGGGCAGAGGGAGCATGGGCGGAAACCAGCGGCAGAACCACAGCACGGGGGCTGCCCCCATCCATGCTGCGCAGAGCCCGGTGACTATGCGAGACAAAACCCCTGCCAAGGAGGTGGGGAGTTATCGTGGTGATGTGTTACTACTCCATGGATGCCAAGGAGCAGATCAAATTCCTCTGGAAGAGGTGTGCAGCAGCTTGGGGTCTCTTAGTGCCACCGCTACCTTGTCCTCTAACAGAATCAACTTAATATTTAAAATGTGTCACAGAGCCCTGAACAAAAAGTTCGCTTCCCCTAGGAAAGTTCCACTTTCTCCAAAGAAAGAAAAACAAATGTATCAGAGAAAAAAAAATACTAAAGAAATATCAAACAAGCAGAACACAAGAATCCCCTCCCCCCCCGCAACAAAAACAACCAGTTCGCAGCTGTCCAAATCTGGTCTGTGGTGCAAAACATTGAGCCTAAAGAGCTCCAGCTATTGCTGAGCATGAAAGCACGCTATGTACCAAGAAATTAAAGATGCATCAGGGTTTCTATTTTCAAAGATGACACGTGACGTGGGCACATATATCGTCTGGCTGGAAGTTATATGGCAGAGGAGGGAGGTGAATTGCTAAGTACTTTGACATTAAAAATATGCATGTTATTGATCAATAAATGTGGTGGCAAGCAGTCATTCTTTTAGCTGTTTAGCTCTGTAAAGTAACTGGCAATCTATAAATGTTTAGTGCTTTTAAATCACCTGTTAATAATGAATACATTCGTGTCTTTCCAGTACAGGAAAGCACACCTATCTGGAAATGCACTTAAACATCAGCCTAACTTTACCACAACTCAAAACTAAGCATATGCTAAAGTGTTATCTTGCACTGGCATGGAACAAGTGTCTGCTTAAGTGATTTTCTGAATCAGAAACAAAATCCTCATATTTAGAATTCTGTAAAGAAAGGGGAAAGAGAGACAAAAAGACCGATTTCTTTTGTATCATATATAACTGAAACAAATGGAAGCCTAGAAAATACAACTGTTATTCTCACAAGACATAAACAGCTAAAGAAGTAGTAATAGCTCCAGCTCCATCAAGGAAGACCTTTCAGGCCATGCAAAGCACAAAAACCCTTCACCTGGTGAGCTCTGCTGGGCTACTGCACATATTGCTAAGAAGTTTTGTTACTGGTTTCTTTCAAAATATTTATCTTAAAATCACAAAATCACATAGTATATTTTAAATTATCCTTTGATACTCTCTCTTTTATCATAACGTGTCCAAAACAATACATCTATATCGCCTGCACACTAGATCATCTTGGACACTGTTAATACACAGCTTATTTAATACTAAAGTTGAAATGCAGACAAGCAGAATGTGATTCACTATTGCTACCAACTGCGTCTGAAGACTAATGTCTTTAGCCAAATCAACAATAATGCTAAGATAAAGTAAGTCAAGTCTTAAAGCCTTACTTTATCTTAGCAGTTAGCAGGAGCAGTCAATCAACTCCTGCCTATCTGTATCCCAACCACAGTATTATTAAGCTGTATTTTAGTATTATATGTTTAGTAGTGTATCTATGAATGTAAATCTGACTTTCATCTACAGCAGTAATGAAATAAATCATACTAGAAAGAGAAGCAGCTATACAATTAACTTCTTTCATGTTATAAACAGCCAGCACAGAGGGAAGCCACGGAAACACAGGGGATGCTCTTGAGAAGTAGAGTTACAATAGCTCAAGCTATATCTAATAGAACTTGGCAAGGAAGATAAAAACAACTTCTGGACTGTTTGCAACTGTCTGAAGGGGTGTCTCGGGGCGCTCTAATGTCCACATGCCAAAGGCCAGCTGCAGTTTTGTGGGTTACCTTTTGGTTTTCTGTGTCTCTGTATGTTAGCCCGAAGTAGTCTTTTTCCAAAAGGTTCAGATGCTCGCACACTTTGTCAAATAGCACTTGACCTCTGGAGCGTTTCTGTGGGAAATGAACAGGAAAAAAAAAAATCACGTTTGCAAAATAAAGTAATATAAGTGTTAAAGTAACACCTTTTCTGTTAATCCTCACATCAATAACCCCAAAATTATTTAATTCAACTCATCCATCTTTCAAACCTACTGACCTGGAGCTTCATAATAATCTGCTGAATGGGGCAAATCTGTTTTTCATAAAACTTTGGGTCTTCTTGCGGAGTTAAAAATAAGTCAATACATGTCACGTTTCAAGTTTCAATGAGAAGAACTCTTCTTTCACAGTCGTATCTCAGCAAACCTGGGCGTTCTTGGTGTGCAATAGTAGCAACAACAACCGTACAAAATATTCCTGGTCATGGACTATCAGATCTGTGACTGGGGGGCGATCCACTGAAGGAAAAATCAAACGTGGGGATACTTCTCACTTTGGTAGCAACGTGGACTGATTCCAGGATCCTTTTTTGTCTCATATACGGGGAAACGTGATAACACCACCTACTGAAATCACTGAAAGAGCCTAGTATCTCACTGGGAACGCAGCTGGGTAAGAAAGCAGCCTTCCAGTGTCCCACTAACCTTCTTTACTGCTAACACGTTGATCTCTCACTGTCAACAGCCAGAGCCCTTAACAGAAGCTTCGTAGTATCTCTCGTATTGGACGGTAAAAATTCATATCACCCTAGTTCTCAGCGTTATATGTGACATTGAGAAAAAAAATCTCCGAAAAACCAAACGCAGACAGAAACGTCCCCTTTATAAGCTACATGTGCCAATTTTAATACACATTAATTATTATAAACCCAAAATTATTTGAGCCACTGTTTCATCGTTATCTGCTTCCCTAAGTGCAATTCAGCTAAAAGAAAAAATCTGCCCAATTCATTTCAAACACAAGCATACATAAATATTTTAGTTGACATCAGGGCTGCATTTTCTTAATCTGTAGCATACACGTGACTTGAAGCAGACTGGAAATACACTACTTTCTTCAAACACAATGCAGGAAGGAGGCTGACACAAAAGAGGAGAGAATGCTGCCTCTGAATTTATGTGCCTCCACTGACAGAGCTGCCAGCCTGGCAGCCTTGGCTGGAGGGGTGGATATTTCACAATACCAGCTGGCACAACTATGCCAACAAACCTGTGGAGCCCAACACTGGGATCAAACTATTTTGGAAGTGGTAAGCAAGCCAAGAGAAAAGAAAAAGAAAAGAACTGAGGGTTGCTGCCTAAAACCCTGTGAAAACATTACAAGAGATGATAGAGGGAGTTGTGCAGCGTAACCTAATTTATATTAAATTTGGTATTTCTACTGGGGCTCCGACGGTGTATTAGAAAGGAAGCAGGGAAATATCCTCTATGTTTTTCTCGATGGGGAAACTGAAGAGTGTGGCTGATAGAGTCTAACAAGTGTTCTCCAGCTGAGAAAAAACAGGCACAGAAGTGCATTGCAAGCGTACTGCTGTAACTTCATTTACTGTGTCTTCCAGCATCATTTGAGCAAACCACGCTCGGGCCTTGTTCTGCTTGTCACATGCTTTCTGCCCTGTGGTAGGAAGCATGAATATGCCCCAGCTCCTTTATAAGGTCAAACAAATGTTTAGTTAATTCTTCACACCCCAAACTTGGAAGTCAATAATAAGAGGTTAGCGGGTTTATACCTGACGCTCCATGGAGAGGATCAGGTGGATAAAAAAGATCTCACTGTCAGTGTGCAGAAAGGAATCAACTCGGAGACTTCAAGCCAAAATAGCCACATTTCTACTATAAGCAAGCACTGCTGTGTTTTGTCAAATTTCTTGCTTTTCTACCTGATAACAAACCAAGTGGTTATACTGAATGGAGAGAAATAAGCAGGTTAACTCTAGAAGATACCTGCTTTAGGAAACACTATGTCTGTACCACTGCATCATTTACATGTATTTGAATTACAATACTTCCATGTCCTCTTAATTTTAAGAGTCACACAAGGCCAACGCAGGAGCTATTTTATGCGGCCTATCTATGCAGCTACACAGGTGTCAGCTTTGAGAAATAGTAGCTAGCAGCTGCAAGGTACGGTGTTTTAATAGGGAATAGCAGGAAACAGTTCTGTGGGGCTGTGCTGTAATAAAAAGCAACAAACCAATAAAAACCCAGTGCTCAGGATTTCTTCTTTGGCTACACATTGTGGGCAAGTGAAAATAAGTATGGCAAGCCTGGAATAAGTTGCATGGCTCATTTCTTGTCCATGACAAAATGTACTTCCTCCTCTGGTACCAAGATCCCCAAGTTGTACTCAGACACTTTCCACAAAATTCCTGCTGCATCAGGATACGGGAAAACCCTGCTGGTGCTGCAAGATGACATCAGAAATACCACGTATAACTGACAGCCCTTCCTGGTCAGGGTCCTCTCTTCGCCAGACACAGGTGTGAACTGGTGATGGCTGAGGGGAAGCCTTACCAGGACCACTTTCCTTCTCACTGTCTGCAGAAAGGCCCATCAGTGTCCAGAGAGATGAGCCTCACATTGTAGCCTCGTCGCTGCCCCCGAGTGCCTCTCCCCAGGTCGGAGCTGACCTGTGGAAGCAGGATTCAGAAGGCTCCCATCATTTGGGGAGTGGGGGCTGCCTAGCAATGGATCCACCCCTATTGCCCTCCTAATGCAAAGACCAAACTAAATCCTTGTGCACCTGCATATACGCAGCACTGCCACTTCGTACCCACGTGGCATGAGCACGCACACTCTCTTTCTAAAACATCATTGCACAGAAACACAGCGAGGGGAAGCTGCATAATCCATGGGAAGTTAAGAGGTTTAGTTTGGAATAAATAAGTAAAGCAACTGAACAGACTTCCCATGGTCTTGTTAATTGCTTTTATTTTACTGTGTGCCCAAATAAGCATGCCAGACAAGGCATGGATATCATTGCTTTGGCAGGGAGAGAATGGGAGGAAGAGAAGAGAAGGTCAAGTTACAAATTCATACAGCTCCTCAACCCATCCTAAACCTTTGCTTTCCACCATTTTGGGGTGACAAGTCTAAGACGATGAAAGACTGACAGTCTGCTAGCTACTGTAGATCACAAGTTAATGCCAAAAATGCCAACCAATTCTCAGCAGTCCAAAAAAATGTGAATTTAAAAAAAAAAAAAAAAATCAGACTTCATGCTATAAAATACTGGCGCCATAAATGAAGAGTTTTTTTGAAAGGTAAATATGGCAAGAGTCTCCTCCAGAAATATTCTTAGCTATTTTTCAGGCATGAATGGGATGAAATGAAATGTGCAGATGTGGAAAAAGAGACATTCTGCTTAAGCTTTGCGAAATCAAGACAATAGAAAGAATGCAAAACATAGATTGATGAGTACAAAAGTCCAGGAGCAAAAACTTCACGCTTTTCACAGCCTCCTCCCTGCAGCTCTATAAAGGTCAGGGCTCTCTCTCGAAGCTGGAATGGGAATAAGCAGCCTCCTGGTCAAGCTCCCAGTGAAAGGAGCCAGCAGTGGCGAACTTGGCAAGCCTGCGCCTGCCAGCGATTCCCACACGCAAGGGAGAGGGGAAGTGGCCTCTCTCCTCGCCAGCTTCTCCTCGGTTTTGGTGCTGAGCTTCTCCCTCCTCGGGAGGCCGAAGGCTACAAAAGGCTCTCCCATGCCCTAACTGGCTTTTCCAGAAACAGTCCATGCTCAAACTTCTCCACACCAGCTTCTTCAGCCCATATCCCTCCATCACAGCCCCATCCCCTTACAAGATCACCAGACCAAGATAGCACATTGTACATCACTGAGAGTGAGGAGCTAAAAAATTAAGTACTTCCACCTTAGCTCTACCTGGATAACAAGATTATTATAAAGTCAATTATTCTCACTGTTGAACATTTGGATACAATGGCTGGTATTTCTTAATGCTGAAAAATAGTGAGAAAGTTTTCCTTTATTATGATTAAGCCCACAAGCTGTAACTTACTTATGATAAACGAACATTATTAAAGTGAAAAAACACAAGCCTTTGTTATAGATACATTATCACTTCAGCCACAAAACATGTATTGCACATTAATATAATCACAGATTGGCTGAGGATCGTGGGCACCTCTGGAGATTGCCTAGTCCACCCCCCTGGCTCAAGCAGGGCCACCTAGAGCAGGTTGCTCAGGATTGTATCCACTTGGGTTTTGAATATGTCCAAGGATGGAGACTCCACAGCCTCCCTAGGCAACCTGTGCCAGTGTTTGACCACCCTCATAGTAAAAATGTTTTTTTTTCCTTCCGTTTAAATAGCAATTCCTATATTTCACTTTGCACCCCTTGACTCTTGTCCTGGCAAATGGCTACCACTGAGCACAGTCTGGCTCTGTCTTCTTTACTCCTCCCATCAGATACGGATACACATTGATAAGATCCCCCTGAGCCTTCTCTTCTCCAGGCTGAACAGTCCCAGCTCTCAGCTTTCATCATAAAAGAGATGCTTCAGGTCCTTCATTATCTTTGTGGCCCTTCACTGGACTCTCTCCAGTGTGTTCATGTCTCCATTGTACTGTGGAGCCCAGAACTGGACCCAGCAGTCCAGGAGCTGAGTAGAGGGGAAGGATCACCTCCCTTGACCTGCTGGCAACACTGCCCAGGAGAGCACTGGCCTTCTGTGCTGCCAGGGGACATCGTTGACTCTTGTTCACCTTGTTGTCCATCAGGACCCTCAGATAATAATAAAGCCTGTATTGCAGCAATCAAGCTACCAAACCCATATGTTACTGTACTGTCACAAGCAACGAGGAAAATTACATGGGAAATGAGCAACGAGCAATTTAATGGAAAGATGTGACCGCAACTTCCTTGTCTGCACATGCTAGGAAATCTCCAGGAACCCTCTTTGCTATTTAGTGAGATATAGGGAAGAGATCAGGAAGATTTCAAACGTTATGTGCTGGACAGCACTCCCCAAACCAGAAACTAGTTGTGCCAGAGGAAAGTTTTATCAGGATCCAGAACTGCCACCTCCAAGAGACAAATTTTGCTTCTGTGCA